ATATATATATATATATACACACACACATACACACACACACACACACACACACACACACACACACACATATATATATATATATATATATATATATATATATATATATATATATATATATATATATATATGTAGCCAACCCTGAACAGCTTTGTTGTTGTTGTATGTGTATATATGTAGTTCATGGTCAATTGTAGTGGCATTTATGTGAACATGTGGCCTACAATGTCTTTAACACTAACTTTAATTGTCCGTTTTTCCTTATTTCTCGATGCTTGCCTTTGTTCATTCCATTACCATTAACAAATGGTTAAGTTATTATCGTGAATAACAAATTTAATGTTGATTTATCGCTGTGAAATCATTATTGATTCTATTATCTAATATATGTAGTTCTCCTTTTTGGGCATTTAGGACAGGATGCTTGGATTCTTTAGTATTAGATGCTGCAATATGCATTCTACATAATTTGCTGTGTTTGGTTTGTTTTTATTGATATCTTCTGTTATATTACAGGCTCGATTAAAGCGGCACAGATGGCACAAAAAGGTCCTGAAGACAAGAGACCCAATTATCATTTCAGTTGGTTGGAGGCGGTACCAAACAATTCCTATATATGCTATTGAGGATCGAAATGGGCGGTATCGCATGCTGAAATACACGCCGGAGCATATGCATTGCTTGGCGATGTTTTGGGGACCTCTTGCACCTCCTAAGACTGGAATACTTGCTCTACAGACCTTGTCAAACAATCAGGTACTTGTTTTTACTTTTTACTATATGGAATCTACTGTAATATATTGCATTAGGTAGTCAATAATTTCTTATCAATTGATATTAAAATTAGGGCACTAGGTGTGGAATATGTCAGCAAGATACCTTTTGATTATAATGCTATAAATAGGGTTGATCTTGGTATTGCACAGACATGGACTTATGATTTGTATAGGACATTCTAATACCCTCACGTGGTTACACACCTGAACATGCATGTGTCTATCACATGAGGGAAAAAAAGAACTCACTGTTCCGTTCTTGTTTTGAAGTTTTTTTTTGCTGAAAGCTGCATTTTCAACAGACTGGATTCCGCATCACCGCTACAGGTGCAGTGCAAGAGTTCAACCATGCTGCTCAGATAATGAAGAAGGTCAAGCTTGTTGGTGGTCCATTGAAAATCTTCAAAAAAACAGCACTAATTAAAGACATGTTTACTTCTGACTTGGAAATTGCTAAATTCGAAGGTGCAGCAATTCGGACTGTAAGTGGTATCCGAGGGCAGGTTAAAAAGGTAAATTATTTTGCATTTGCAATTTCTTTTATTTGGGTGTGTTATTTCTGCTTTGTTGGTTATCTTTCTGCTCATCAATTAGTCGATGACATTGCATTCTCTCTTTCATGTGGAGGTTCCTATTTCAGTCTTCCATTCAGATTATCCTGGACTTTAAAATGCTAAGAAAAAAATTCTGGCTTAAGTTGTCATAGTGATTTCAATAGGCGCTCGGGCACTCGCCTAGGCGCTCAGGCGAGGCGTGGCGAGGCCCGAGCTCCTCGCTTCATTTCCAGGCGGCGCGCTTCAAAGAGGCACCGCTTGGGCGCTCGCCCGAGCCCAGGCCCCGGGCACTTCGGGCGAGCGCTTGGGTTAAACCAGGCGAGCGAACTAGCGTTTGAGGTATGGTTCAGTCTCCGGTGCTTTAGTTGGTTCAATCGAACCAACTAAAGCATTGATATCAGCATGACTTCCCCAACCCTAACCCTGCTCGCCGTTCACGCTACTGCTGCTCGTTGCCGCTGCTGTTGTTGCCGCTCGCTGCTACCGCTGCCGGTCCCACTATCGTCGCTCGTCGTTGCCGCTGTCGTTGCTACTATTGCCATTGTCTCCGCTCGCGGCTTTCGCTCCCGCTGCTCGCTGCTACCGTTGCCACTGTCTCTACTCCCGCTCCCGTTGTTGTCGGTGCCATTGTCGTCGCTTGCCGCTCCCGCTGTCGCTACTGCTACTCGCTGCTGCCGTTGCCACTGTCGTCACTCGTAGCTCCCGCTCCCGCTTTTCTCAATCAACACTCTCGGTCTTTCGACTCTTCCCTTACACTCTTCTCCTCTTTCGATAGTATACTATTAACAGTATACTGTATACTATTAACTGTATACTAGTAATAGTATTTGTATTTATTAGATTAATTTAATAGCATGTTTTTATTTAAAAATATAAATAATTATATTTATTAATTATATTATATATTTTTATATTTTAGCGCCTAGCGCCTCGGGCATTTTTGGACTTTGGCGCCTAGAGCTTTTTAAATCACTGAGTTGTCATGAGTAATTCTTTTTACATGATATCTTCTGCATTCCTCTTCCTCCCCCCCCCCCCCCCCGACAGTTGCCTTTTGTTTTTATATAATTTGATTTTAAAATTTTATTAAAACTTGCATTGAATTACTTTGTTACTATAGGTAATCTGGTTGTTTCCTTCAATTTATCACTGGGATCTTGACATGGAAATTGCTTTCCTACAGTGCATGTGTGTCACTTTACTTTACATTCTTATTTTAATTGTTTGTTGGTTATCTACAATTCTAAATTTTGATGGCAGGCTGCCAAGGTAGAATTAGGCAACCAACCAAAGAAAAAGGGTGAAAGTGTAAAAGAAGGGATCGCAAGGTGTACATTTGAAGACAGAATTCTGATGAGCGATATCGTTTTCCTGCGTGCGTGGACTCGTGTAGAGATTCCACGCTTCTATAACCCTGTGACAACATCCCTGCAGCCTCGAGACCAGACATGGAAAGGCATGAAAACAGTAGCTGAGCTCAGACGGGACAACAATCTTCCAGTACCATTCAACAAGGATTCAGTTTACAAGGTGCCTAGTTTGTTTTCTCAATGTAGTTATCAAAATCAATGGTTTCTTCTCTTCTTTGACACTATTAATTTCTTTGTTTTCTTTTTTGGGCAGCCAATTGAACGGAAGCCAAGAAAATTCAATTCGCTGGTGATCCCACGGAAATTGCAAGCAGCGCTGCCATTTGCTTCCAAACCAAAGGACAAGCCAGCTCGCAAACGACCATCACTCGAGAGCCGGCGTGCTGTGGTAATGGAACCTCATGAGCGGAAGGTTCATGCCCTCGTCCAACACCTTCAGCAAATTAAGAACGAGAAGGTAAGAAATTTTTCTTCTTGTAAGAAGCAACTCAAATGTGTGCACTGCGGTGGTTGCATTGATTAGCTATATCAAGGCAGACTGGTTTACATTGTGGGATAATGAGAATATTAAGTTGTGGAGCTGTTTCATGGCTTCCTTATAGTAGCTAATGCCTGCAGTCACAGGGGTCTCCATTTTATGCCCATGTTTGCTAATGTTAGTTGGCTCTGGCAGATGAGGAAGCGGAAGACCAAGGAGCAAGAGAAAAAGAAAGCATATGAAGCAGAAAAGATGAAGCAGGAGCAGTTATCCAAGAAGAGGCAAAGAGAAGAACGAAAAGAGCGCTATCGCCGGGAAGATAAACACAAAAGAACTCGTAGGAAAGTTGAGGATTAATAGCACCTTCAGCTATCGACCAGTCACATCTTAGAAGTTTGGACTTCATAGAACAGTGATGTATGCTGGTCTTCAGGGTTCTCATCCGCAAATATGATGGTGAATTTTAGAGAAATGTCAAGTATTTGATTATTTCTTTTTTTACCAAGTATAATTTCATGAAAAAAGATGGGAACAGATTTCCAATGGAAAACAAATTGTAGGATGGAACACTAAAGACCTTCTATCTGAAGCAGCTACTGTATCTTAATTGTAACTTATCTTTTACTGGAAGAAACTGAGCTACATTTGGACGGTTTGATACAAACATTTTTAAGAGTGATTAAATGTTATATATCACGGCAAAACAAGAGAGAGAGAGAGAGAGAGAGAGTACTTGAGTGTATCAGAATCTATTCGACCAGTGTACTCATCTTCCCTTGATTATTTCAAGCAGTCTCATCACTGTTTGTCAAGTTGTATCTTCCTTTAACTAACATTTTGAACAAAATGCTAGTAGTCTCATCACTGTGACCATGTTGAACATATTGCAAGCAGTATCATCACTATGAACTCATGCACGCTTTGGATTTAAATCATATGTTACTTTGATCTTTCACAAATCAAGCTTTAAGCTATTTTATTGCAAGCACAAATAATGGAGACAACCATTTGCCACCTGTGTCGTCCAAGAATTATAAGCATGAGTGTCCTAAAAGTGTCCACAAGCCTAAATCATGGCTGGGAAAATGCAACTCATTGGATTGTCAGGAAAAGGGGTATTGCATTATACTGATAACTTGCAGGAAGAACATGATTGCATTTTTAAGCTCTAATTGCTGTTTAGAGAGACTTCATTTCTTCTTCATTCACATGTCCAGCTTCTGTTTGACTATTCATCTTTGCTTCACACTTCCACCAGAGATATAGACGCCCTGTAAGCTCACTCAAGGATCATATTAATTGTCTTCGGGTAAGCAGCTTCAAACTATAGCGTAAGACTTAATTGCCAGAGAAAGATTGTTCTTTTACGACCTCGGTGATTGGATGGAGAGCGAGTCATGAAAATAATTTCTTTATTTGCATAGGTAAAAATGGGTTGTCTTTTCTGCAAGAACTTTGCTTATGCAAGAGAACACTTCAGAGTTCTTGGAGTAGAAGAAATCTGGTAGGTGGCAATGGCACCACCAAACACTGAAAGGCTCATAGAAATTTATTGGTTTGCAGATTCTGCATCGCTTTCTTTGCTGCTGCTAGCTGTTCTACCATTAAGAATTTTCATGACAACCACATGTGTCATCTCATTCAGTATCACACACAGGTCACTGCCTCCCCAGTCTTTGCTGAGTTTTATCTTGGTCATTTTACATTAAAAAAAAAAATCTTGTTGGACTTATACCCCATGATACTTTCCTAATTGATTTTTATTTAAAATATCTTTTTTATCACTTTAATAAAAATATCTATATGTCATCATTCCTACTTCCGATCACTTCTATCGACATCACTTTCGTCACCTTGTTCAACTCTGACTCTCTCACAACTTTCGACATCATAATTATCATCCCGTCTTTCATTCGTCACTTTCATCTTTTCACATCGTTCGTTATCTTCCTTCATTGGACCGGATGATAAAATATTTTTTTTGATAAAAGCCTAATAATAAGATTATTTAATAAATTTTTTTTTATTTTTTATTTAAAAATACTATTTTCAACCATAGTCTTTTAAGTTTTCAACATAGAAGAATAATCCTATCATTATCAAAACCTACCCTCAATTTTTTTCTATTTAAGCTCGATTAATAAAACCCATTTCTGAGTGGTCCAATTAACTAATAAAACATGACACACTACCATGCATATATATATATATATATATATTGATGAACATTGATTACATTAATTATGAGGATAACTGACCCATACATTTGAAATGTTTACCCAAGATCATGCATCTCACCCAAGACACCAATCCATCCATTTCATAAAAATAGGCATAATCTAGAAAAATTATTGTATCAATCTTGCAGGACGTACTTTTACACAACAGATATACACAGTGTGTTAATTATTATTTTTATTTGTGCATTTTGTTTTCTAATTGACACTATTGTGAACATGGTGGATAACCGCACATAAATTTTGGACATGTCTTCAACAAGAAAGAATAATTTTGGTTGCGATTAGTTCCCAACATTGCTATAGAAGAACAATAAATGCAATTAGATTCGGTAGAAGTCTATTTAAGGGAGGCTAATTAATGCTGAAGAGGTCACGAACGCAACCCACCCACCCACCTGCCTCCATTTCCTCGTCCTCCCCAGCCGTCCTCGTCATCGACTCGACGCCCCAAGGATTTCGACTCCGTCCTCCTTCCGATTCTTCTCTCTCCTTTTTCTCTTCCCTCGTCTCGCTTTGGCCGGTGGGTGGGGATTTAGAGACGGATCCGAGATGAGTTCCGGAGAGCTGCTGGAAATTGATCCCCTCGAGCTCCAATTCCCTTGTGAGTCCCATTTCTAAATCCTTCTCTTGGTGGTTTTGCCGGAGTTGTTCGGAAGATCGTCGCTTGTTGTAGGGTTGTTCTTTCTTTTCTAATCGTTGAGTTCTTTTTGTGATTTGTTCTGACAAGTCGAACTCAAGAAGCAGATCTCGTGCTCGCTGCAGCTGGCCAACAAATCGGATGATTACGTGGCGTTTAAGGTTGTCGATTTCGGCTTTTGTTCCCCTTGTTCTCTTATTTCGTGTGTTACATTTTGTGGAAACCCTAGAAAGTTGCAATCTTTTTTATCGTTTCTTGAATTTTCTTTTGTAAAGTTGGAATCTTTGGTTGTATGATTCGGCTATTATAAATAGGTGAAGACGACAAGCCCGAAGAAATACTGCGTCAGGCCAAATGCTGGGGTCGTCCTGCCGCGGTCGACATGTGTTGTTATCGGTATGCTGATCTTTTCTCTGCCCTAAATTTTCCGTACTTGGAAGGAAGGTATTATATTTTCTTCTAAGAAGGTTACAATTTGATTCAGTTACAATGCAAGCACAGCGTGAAGCTCCACCCGACATGCAATGCAAGGACAAGTTTCTTGTCCAGAGTGTCATTGTTGACCAAGGCGCCACTACGAAAGACATCACCACGGAAATGGTATATCTAGTCTCCAGCAGTCTGATTTTAAACACTTGCTGTCGCAAATTGTAATTAGGCATGCCAGTGGGTATATGTTATCAAGGATTGACAAATGTATTTGATCTTGTTTTAGTTCTCAAAGGAGTCAGGGAATGTGGTGGATGAGGTAAAGTTGCGAGTTGCCTATGTCTCACCTCCTCAGCCACCTTCGCCTGTGCCTGAGGGATCTGAGGAGGGTTCATCACCTAGACCTTCTGTGTCAGACAATGGAAATGCGAATGCCTCAGAGCTACTTGCTGTGAGTATTTTAACTTATTGCTTTATGCGCGTTATTCTTTTGAGATAGAGGATTTTAACTGTAATGCAATAATAGGCAACGAGAGCATATGCTGAAGATATTCAGCAAGAGAAAACTTCTGAGGTGAGTCTCTTATTCTTTTTGTGTAGTTCTGATTAACTTACAATTGAATCAGTGACTGTCGTGCTGTTGGATATTTCATCTCTTATTCTTTTTTTTTCTTCTCGTAATGTTATCTATGCTTTTCAGTTATTTCCTACAGATCTGGTTAGGTGCATGTTTGCTTATAAGATATGACTTTGTATGTCTGATAGTTACTTTTCGATGTAGATTTTTATAACATAAGTAGACCTTTTCTAGTTTCTATTGCATCGATTTTCTGGATATAGTAGAGAGAGAGGTCCTCATCTAAAGAACTACCCAGTCAAATACTTGGACCAGGTAGTTTCTTTGGCCCAGGTAGGTCCTCGTCTAAAGAATTAAGGTTAAATACTTGGACCTTAATCCACAATGGGGATCAACCACCAACTCAACTTCTCATCGGTAGTTTCTTTGGCTTGTTAAACTTACGTTTTAAAATCTAGCATTATAACATAGGTGTGTTAAAATTACTTGTAAAATGAGTTATATTTCTATTCTATGTGATCTTGTAGCATCTCTTCATTACCTTGCTAAATCAGACTCTTGAATATAAGTGTGAATCTGATGCCTGCATCTATGTTGATGCGACAATGTTTGGTGAGATATCATCTGCTAGGATACAGAGGTGCTATTGCTCTTGGAACATGTAATTCTATCACAGTATTTTAAAACAAAAAACTTTTGACCAAAATCACTGATTCCTTAAAGCTGTGTTAGACTAACTTACAGGAGTTATAAAGGGAATATATCAAACTGAATAAATGTAACAAATCAGGTTTTGTTTACATTCGATGTAGATCCCACATTCAACCCCTCATCCCACTAGTTCACTCAAGAAGCCCCACGCCTTTCATGTCACCCATTGCTTGCTATCACAATGCCCTATCAATGGGTAGCTGCGTTGGGTTTAAAGGGGCATGTGTTCCATATTATAATGTTGGCATTTGCATAGGCATGCATTATCCATGATTTGAATCTTCTGAGACGATGAACTTGTTCTGGTGATAATGAAAAACTGTGTACACTCAACAGTTCATGTTAATAGTTCACTGGCCATTGACATGATCAGTGTATAGAGTTTGTGGGACATGACCACTTATATATAAATTATGTGACAAATTTGTCATACTTTCATGTATGATATTATAATATATCTTATTAGACATTTGTATCTTGGTTTTGGTTCTTTCCATTAATGGCTCTCCATGTAATGTCAAAATATTTTTCATGAATATAGTTTGAATGCTGCTTTTAGGTGGACCAAATTAGCCCTGTAGGTGATATCACCTCTCACAGAACTGACAAGCACCTGAAACATTTGGGATTAATTCAGTCCACCTAATAGCTTTTCCATATAGTTTCCTTTGGCAGGAAAGATGAATGTTTTTTCCTGTGTAATTGATGGAGCATCATTGAACAAGTATTTTTGTTTATGCCACAAGACTCTGCTGGAAGGTATACAACCTTCAGCATTGAGGTTAACAATAATAAAACATTTGTCCCGTAGATACTCAATCAGCTGCTAAATTCGTGATTTTTATTTAAGATGTTAAGAGTTGAAGTGAATACTCAATGACAAGTCTTTGAGTAAACTGTAAAGTACAATGGAATTATTCTGTGCAATAATAAGTCCTTGGAGTTTCTAATATGCCAAAACAGCTTCTGGTATGGATGTAAAAATATTGATTGTTTTCATCTTTCTAGTGTGAAGTAAAAAAGAACTATTCTTTCCAATAAGCCCTTCTGATGTACCAAAACAACTTTTGGTATTGATGTGAAAACAAGATTTCTGATGTTCTGGTTGTTTAATTGAGCTTCAACAAGATACATTTCAGTTGTAGAATGATTCCTTTGGCTTTTCATTTAGAAGCAGGAGATTGTGCTTGGTTTAGGCATAATAAATTACTAAATGATGTGGATACCCTAACTTTGCATGGATCTACAATCAAATCATTTTGTTGTACTTCAACAATATGAAATGTAATGTTTATTAGCATTCATTTATTTTTGGACTGGCTGAGCGAGACACATGATGTCATGTTAAAGGTTGAAGACAGGGAACACGGAATTACAATATTTGCTTAGTTTAGTCTATGTAGTGATGTTTTTAAGATTGATATCAATAAATTATGAGCACTATCTATCTCTTCACTAGCCTGATGACATGTATTTAGTGATTAAAGGTTTTCCTCATGAACATTAGAATTTGTTAGATGCTTAGCTTTAGTCAAGATCATGATTATTCTTGCTACACCATGGGCATATGCTGGTCTCCCACTACCATCATATGTGTTGCAATGCATCCCATGCTGATTGTCATTCACCAGTCATATTACCAGCTTAGACATGTGGGTATGCGCTACCATGGATATGTACCCAAAGATGATGGTGTCCCATCTACATGGTACATGTCAGTCTGCCTAAACAGGCAGGATGTCCATGGTTAGATGATGATATATTGTAACAATAATCCTAAATATGGAAGCATAATGTATAATTCTTAAGAATAAGATAGATTTTTGTAGCAATAATATCAGCAAGAAGAGATACTCATTTGCATTGCAACAGTGTAAATCTTTACAAGGAGACTTCCTACTCCAATATCTGTCTCCAATTTGTGAGATAGCTGTGTAGAATAAAGTGAGAAACATTCTAAGATGTTTAGTTAGTGGAGCTAGTGTTGTTCCGAAAGCAACAAGAGTAAACATTTACAGAACACGAAGGATCATGTGTTTCTGAAATGTGCTGTTGTGACATCTTTTTGACAATGAGTATGCATTTATTAGCTTATTTAACTGATCTAAAACCACCCTAGACTAGTATAATTTGGACTAGATTAGGTTCAATTTAGGTTAAACTGACTTGAATAAGTCAAATTAATTCGGAATGAATTGATCTAAGACTAATCAAGTCTGGTTTAGTTCAATCAATGTTTGGACTCAAATCCAACAATTACATAATATTGGACTAGGGTAAGTCGACTCATATACTGATCATATGCATTGTACATAACTGTGCATGCACCATAGCAGGTTGGGCCAATGGACTGGTCATATGCGTCGCACATGACTGCGTGTCTTAATAATCTAGAATCTTTGGGTTACTTAACAAACAAGTCATGATTGAGATGATTTACTCATAATACTTGATTGCAGTTTAGTGGCTGCTGATAATGCAGCTTAAAAGATCAATGGTATTATAAGGGAAAAATTGAAGTACTGATTGTAAAAGTAGACATGTGGTCAATAACAACAATATATGTGTGCATGTGCAAGGATACTTCTTATTTATATGTCATTAATTGGTTATTCCCTCTTAAAACCACATACCAGTAATGTGATTTTTTCTAGTCTCTCCACTTTAACTAATGTTTCAAAGAGGCATATTTAGATACATTTGCTCCACTTTAGCTTGTAATTCTAGGGTTCTCAAAGTTATGTGCCAACTTCCTGACTCTGTGAAACTTGGGTTTCCAAGAGATTTCAGCATGAAAAATATAAGAAAAATAGAACATTGATTATCTACAATGCTGATGTATTAAGGAAGCTAGAAAGCTGGTAAACATTTCTTTTGCACCCTTGACTCCTGCAGTTGATCCTTAAGTTGCAATTGGTCATCCTACCACATGAACTAGTAATCTGACTCCAAACAAGTTTATTGATCTTTTGTATTCTTGACAATATATAATCAGCTAATCAGGAATGTATTTTCAAATTATGCATTCCATCTGAACGTACAATGGTTGGTCATCAACCTTCCAGTCTCTCTGCATTTATTTTAAAGTTATTACACGGAATTGTTGCTTCTTCTTTTTTCTTTTCATAATTAGTTATTCTCATCTGATGCATGTTTGTTGTAATGTGCTCAAACACACTTCAGGTATATTTTTATTAGGAATTTTGAACTCTCTTGCCTTTATGATGATTAATGTTATACTGGAAATCTTTAATTGACCTTTTCTCCATCCAGAATTTGGCTCTAATTTCAAGGTTGACTGAGGAGAAGAATGTTGCTCTTCAACAGAACAGTAAACTGCGACAAGAACTGGTAAGCACCAACATGGTTTATCAATGGACTTTTTCTCATGCTAGTGGATCGAATAATATAGCATATTATTACAAAGTATGTCATAAATAATTAAAAATAAATTATTTTGAAAATTTTGGACAGAATTCTGGTAGAAGTTTCTGAATTTCTCAATGTACCTAATTTTTTTCCTGTTTATAGCATGTGCTCTTTTGCTCAATGCTGCAAGTTCACGAATTCAACATCTTTTCAGGCATCTTTACTGGGGTTATATGCCACACATAACCTATTGATAGAATACATAATTCATTGTCTTTTTGTACAGCTAAAATTTGTCCACTGCCTAATTCCAGTTGTAAAGGACAATAACTATTGCAAACAAGCCTGTTCTGGTAGGTTCTTGATGCCCTCCATTTGTTTGTATATATTGATCAGCAATGATAAGCAATCATGGATATTGTGTTTATTTGGTTCAAAACTAAGTCCATACTAGGTTTCACTGCCACTACCTATGTTGGATATTAATTTGCTGTGGTCAACCTTATTACATGATTTGGAACACTTTCAGATGTGTCAGCATAATCTAGTTATTTCAGGTTTTCCATCACAGAGTAAACATTTGTTCTCGTTTGAGTTTGTTGCTGGCTTGGTTGCTCGTCTGAGCCTATCACAAGGTCTCAAGACTGGATTCTGCAGGGTTCTGCAAAATTGCATCGAAGTGTGGTCGACAAAAAGCCTTCTCTGATGCTTAAGTTAGTGTCGGAAAAGATTTAGAGTAATCGGGGTTACGACAGTTCTGAGAATTTATGTTTTCTTTTCTTTTGTACAGTAGCATACCTGAGATCTTCTTTAGGAGGCTTTGACAACCATCATGGTTAAGTGGGGAATCAATTCATAAGAGCAGTTATGCTAGATTATTAGGCTTTACTCTATCGTGAAGGGTCGCAGTTGCATCCAAACCTACAGCCAGGCATTGCAGTTAACATCGTCACATATTGGGTTGACTACATGAGGCATTTTAGCTGATGTGTCGGGTTGGCAAGATGACCAAATAGGTGTGATTGATGGTGATGTAGTGTCCGGATGTCCACATGAGATCTCTTATTAAGATATATTAGCATTTTAAGTATACATGTATGCATGCTTTTTCGCAAATCAAGATCTCTTTAAAATGGCTTAAATAAGTCCTAGAAAAATTTGTTCCCATTAATCCTAGAAGTGTTAACCTAGAGATCATATAGGTAGCACACTTCTATTATCTCAGTCCATGAGATTAAACAACTATGCTTGGCATGTTTCAAGGCAGTCATCCTGTGAGACTGTCAGTTTAGTTAAGTAAATAGGTCGTTAGTGATGTATATTTTGGACTCACCATACTCCTTGATTTTAGTTCTGATAGTTCAAGTAATCATCAAGACTTTCTTTCTTCTTTTTATGCCCTTTAAACGTAATCATATAACTCCATAAATACGCTGTCCATGCCGCTTGACCAATTACATTTGCGAGAATGACTGATTATTACTTGTTTTTCAGTTATAGCTATGAGAAAACTGTGCAACGTGTTACTGTTTGTTCTGCGTGAGTACAAGAAGCTTACTCATTCGACAAAGCATTCAACTAACTATATCAGATTCGTAAAATGGGCTCATTCAATCAAGATTTATGATTCAACTTATTATCATTTATCCGTTCTTTCTGCAATAGCGATGTGGTTCTTATTTGGTGGAAAGAACTTTGGCATTAGTAGATACATACCTGAACACGCTGTAAATTCTACTGTTTGCTAATTAGTTGTCAGTCTTAGACAGTAAGCACAAATGGGGTCTTAAATCTGAGTTCATATATATTCTTTAACAATATTTTGTCGTTGTTGCATGCAGGAACTTGTGAGGCGAGAAGTCAGCAAACAACAAGGTGGTTTCTCATTCATGTTTGTGGTGATCATTGCCTTGCTTGGAATTTTTCTAGGCTACTTGTTGAAGAAGTAACAATGGCTTGTAGCCTTTTATGGACACTCATAGATCTGACTGCCACATTCTATTAGGTCCTTATAGGAGTCAAAACTAGCTCACCTAAGGTCTGGTAGCTTCTTTTGACTGTTTAGCAGCGGCTTCAGTTGGTGTAACATCTGATGTTATGGGTGTGCAATTTCGGTACCGTGCGTCCTTCATATTTATTAATACAAATGTAGCAAACCTTGGTCCTTGAATTATTATCATTTATAATAACTTGTTTGTGAGCAGGTGCTATCAGTAATCTCAAATATTGATTCGTGTTTATTGAACTCAAGATTTTCTTGTGTTTTTGATGTTTCAAACTTCGTATCTGCGGTTAATACTCTGTTGTATCTGCTTAGATTAGGAAAACTGACAGTAGTAGGAAGATTGCTTTAATGTTTCAATGGCATTATTATTCAGAAGATGATGAGAATTTGAGTCATTCCTTGAAGAGCTTTAGTTCCAAGACATATGTAGCAGCCCATGGATGACATTATCATTATTCATTTTATGGCACGATTGCTGGATCTATAATTGTTTGCCCATGTAATGTATTTGATCTTTGGAGCAGCCCATGAAATGGTTGTTGCCATGCTGTATTCCATATGAAGTTTATCATGGAAGAAATTTTGTGAAGTTGTTGCATGAGCACCTTCGCACGGGTTAATTATAAATTACCTTTTAGTTGGACTTTATCAGATACAACATGTGATGACATATGTAAGAATGATATTAAAATGATGAAAAAAATAATTTTAATATTTTAATTATATTTTTTTTTGTTATGTTCTAATTAAATTTTTTTAATTGACTATTGCGATACTAGTAGATAGCAACGCCATCGGGGGCTGTGGGTGAGTGTTGTGATGGTGGTCGACCTTGTCGATATTGATATGAACATTGAAGATCAAGGCGAGGGTGATGGCCACGATAGCGGCGACGGTTTGATTGATGATGGTGATGGTCGATCTTGGGGATGCGAGAAGGAAGAGGAAGAGAGTTACAATAGTTTGTGAGATAAGTGTGAGAGGAGGAAAAGATAGTGTTGCAGGAGATAGCATTGGCGTGGTCATCATCCTCATGACACAAGAGAAGAGGAAGAGAAGGGTGAACGACGATGACGCTATTTTCGGCTTCTATGGCTTCTTGCAGAGGGATGAGAAAGAGGAGGGAGAGCGATAGCGGGAGGTGAGGCAAACGGAGAGGAGATAGCCACTCTCCCTCCTTTTCCTCCTCCCGGGGCGATAGTGTCACGATAATGATGGTTGCACCAACGCTATCTCCCATGACACTATGATCCTTGTCCTCTTCCTCCTCATCATGGAGGGTGCTAGTCCATTGCATTCGGGGCACATGGATGCTTCGCTTCCCCAGGAGCTTTGGTAAAAACCTCGATCACATCTAAGTTATACGAGGAATCGAAGGGTTTGGTGCCATAGTGCTTGCTATAGTGGTGGTAGTGGTGTGGATGTTGGAAGAGCTAGTGGTGTTGGTAATGGTTCTTGATTAATACATTTAGTGAAAACCCATTGAACCCTATCGATGGTGTGACCATTTGGGTGTATGCTAAGATGCCACCGACTGGGTTAAGCAAGGATGATGGCATCATGTCCAAATTGGAAGAGAAGCTCGACGAAGAGGATGATGGCGAAGACAAGGAAGATGACATGTATAGGTAGGAGGACCATTGAGGACAATAGGATGAGACCTGGTTGGGTATACTTATGATATAAAGGGAGGAAAGGGAAGGCCATGTTGTTGTAGACAAGGATGCTTTTGATTGGCCTCGACCCCTCCATCAAGCCATCGAGGGTGGAGTGATTGCTGCAATAATGGTCGAATAGCAATGGTTGTCGCTCTCCCTCCTCCCCTCGCAAGAAGTCAGAAGCTGGAGATAGTGTCGTCGCTACTCTCCCTCCTCTTCCTCTACCTGTAAGAAATTATAGAAGTCGGAGATAGCATCGTCGTTGCTCACCCTCCTCTTCCTCCTCCACCGTTGCGAGACAATAGTGTCACGAGGATGATGGTTGCGCCAACACGATCTCTCATGATACTATCATTCTCATCCTCTTCTTTCTCTCCCTTTGCCTTACCTCCCGCCACCACTCTTCTTCCGCTTCCTTCTCACATCCCCAAGATCTACTACTATCATCATCAAATCTCTGTCAGTACCATAGATGTTGCCCTCGCCTTGATCGTCGATGTTCCAATTGACCTCGATAAAGTTGACCACCACCACAATAGCCACTCGCGATCTCCAGTAGCATCACTATCTGTCATCATCATAACAATCGACTATGTAGTTTTAATTAGGACATAATAAAAGAAAATATAGTTTGGACATTAAAATTATTATTTTTTCATCATTTTCACATCATTCCTACATGTGCTGTATTTTTCATCAGTAAAGCCGATGGCCATACAGTAAATGGGATTAAATATTTTGTTTTTATAACTATAGGGATTTCAATATAAATGTTTTAAATCTAGGGACCGGGAGGAATGTAAAGGGGATATAACTATATGGGATAATTTATAATCGGCCCTCTGTGCACAAAAACTATATAATATATTGCTCTTGTGGGATCTCAATATTTGCTTGCATACTTTTTGATGGAGCCAAGAAGGTAGTTTGATTGTGCATTCATATGTTAATTAACTTATTTCTTTTCCTTAAAAAGGTCCTATGAGGACTCGGGGTTATAAGAAGGCTAATCTTTTGTTGATAGATTTAGTAAGAGTGTCATGTGACTTAGGTCAAACTAATAAAATTAATGATATGGTAACAAAATGGCAAACAAATACTTGGACATACAATGTTGGGATCTAATAAGGTTGCATGAAAAATAGTATAAAAACTTGATAGATTGGAGGAAATCAGTATAGAGATATAGAGAATGGAGCCGCTTAAAGGAGCAGATATCCAAGATTAACATTCAAAAAAATAACAAACCAGAGATACCATAAGAACAAGTGAGATAAGAAGAACATATAGGAGCATAAAGATTGTGATAATTAAGTTTGATCTACAACTTCACATCATCAACCTAATTTGTAGTATTAACTACAAGCATGTTTGGTTGTAGATGTGATTGCACAGGTCAAGGATAGATTGATTGGCAATTGAAAGAGTTTGTGTAAAGACTTATAAAAGTGAGAGAAATTGTTAGCTCGAAGAATTCGATAATCATACAATAACTTATATACAAACTTTGGATGTTCGTAGCTATCCCAAGATGATCGAAATTCAATATCAGAAAGTAAAAAAACTCTCTTCTGCAAGATAGAAAGAGATAACATATACTAGACTCTAAATTGTATAGTGGGTTTAGAATGTTACTAGGTCTTATGAGCATAGTCGAGGGTTGTATCGACAAAGTGTCATGATCTAGCAAGTGCATTAGTAAAAAAAAAAGTATACGATTCATATATAACAAATCACGCATTTCAAGGATATACCTTGGTAATGAAAAAATTTCAATAAAAATATACGAAAAGGATATGCTCCAATATGGGATAAATCCTCAGTGAATCAATTTCGAATTTTCTATCAATGATTCATGTATAACAAATCACACATTTCAAGAATATACCTCAAGGTGAATAATCTATAAAACTCCAAGGAGATTGGAATCGAATAAGTGACAAAGAATCATTGCAAGGATAAGATGATGCATCAATTAATACGTTACAAGTTTAAGTGGAGGAGTGATCGAAAGCACCCCTAGAGACAAAGACACACATAGATTGATGAGGAGAACATCAAACTCATTGGAGAGCACTCATGTAACAGTAGTGGCAAGGACCATAACAATCTCAATGCAAATAAAAATGCATAATAACAATCCGCACGAAGAGAAACTACTTGGAAGATAAAATATGGAGAGAAGGTATACGAACACTTACCTTGAATGGAGACGAAGGATATGAACACTTGTCAAGCCAAAAATGGGACCATTGCATTCCTTAATTTTCTCATTCTAATAGAGAAAGACTCATTCCTTAAAGAGTGGAGGGGAGCTCCAATGCACGTGTACTAGATCCAAATTTTTTATGAGTATGCTAATATCAATTTATTTTCATTTGTCCCTTTGTAAATTTAAATTTGCGTTCAAAATACTCTTTCATTCCTCTGCCTCATTTCCGTTCATACATATGAAATACATATATATGAAGTTAGCTAAAATTTTATGTGATTCAGTAAACATAAATGGTATGATAAAATACCACATGAGTGAATACATAGGAATTCAAATCTGCCACTCATACATAGGAATTCCAATCCGCTAAATCACTCATGTTATGATCTTCTACTTCCTAAGTCTTTCCGTTCCTCTTCATCTCTTTTTTTTTTGTTTATTATATTCTATACATAGTTAAAATTCATTGTCTTACTCTATAAACCTTTCAATTTATGTATGAAAATCTATGTATAGATTTTTATACATAAATCTATACCAGCTATTTCAAAGGTTTCAACTGCATTTCAGGTATGGTTTTGGTTTTTCCCAATTAGGAAATGGTATACAATTAACAAACTCAAGACATTCTTTGTCTTAATGAAGTATATGAGACATACATCAGAAGATATTCCTCTTCTTTGAAACCTCAAATGGCTAAATTGGCATCTGATGAACTTAACTTGTTCCAGTATAAAGCAGTTGTCGTGCTGTGCAATGTAATGAAGAGATTAGGAGTGAAGAAGGAAGATGCTAAACAGGAAAGAAAGAGGGGAGAACAGTATCTCGTTCTCAAAGAATCAATTTATCCTCATGCTTGGGGGTATTTTAATTGATGGAGGTATATTAGTGAAAGCTAGAAAGGCCTACAATATATTACAATTTATCCTCATACTTGCAAGAAAAATTTTCAGAGAAACAAGCATAATAAAAAAATGCGAAGGCTTACAATATATTAGTGAAAGCTAGAAAGGAAAGATTATAATCGAAATTCTTATCATCCAACTTGCAACAGTAAAATTAGAGTCGAAACATTTTGACATGAGACAAACTGACTATAGGACCATGAAAACAAAAGAGGATTTTAGAGAAGTAATCGTAAAAAAAAAGATACAAAGGCCCTACAATGTGCTAATAAAAGCTACCAAGGAAAGATCATAGTCCGAATTTCCATGGATGATGGGACTTCAATAGTATCTCAGGTTGGACCATCAGATTATCATGTTGACTTTTGAAATCTTACAAAATCTATTTTTAAATTTTACAGATTATAAAGTACTTGAATGTTTACTTATATGATTCGATTGTAAGTTTCAATAAAATGACAATCAAGAGATATATCAGGCTTATGATATCTCTGGTACGGTAGCAGAACCATAAAATCATAGAAGTCACTAACATTGACAGCCTTCATACTTAGAACTCTTCCTGCAAATTGCAATAAAAAGAAAAAACAAAGTGTTTAAGGAATATTGATTGCCATATAGAACATATGAATGGCGACAATTTTCCCAAAGTGCAATAACCATCCAAACGTATGTTAGAAACCAAAGGAAATAGAAATATATACCATGGCAGCAGTAAAGGAACAATAAAGTTGACCAACGCATTTAATTGTTGTTTGGCTTGTCAGGCTGAGGAAATCGTTACTTGCATCAGAACTTAGTTCAGCAAGATTTGTCCATAGAAGTTTCTAACCTCTTTGAAGGTTATCCATGATATTTATAGCTTTTTTAGGTGTATTTCTGATATTTCCCCTATTTCAAAGTTTCAAAAATGTGTCTACAATTTCATATTCTCCTTTTCCATACATGTATGATAAAGTAAAATACACATAATATTTTGAGGTGGGTTACTAGTTTTGGGTAAATGTTCTGGAGGGTTTTCATGCTATTAAAATTTTCAATGATCTACCAAATTCAAAAGTCAAACAAAGTTTTGGTGTCTGATGATATCAACAGGTATTAGAATGTTGATTTAACTAAATTTTAGAAGATATTTAAAAGTTAATCATGGAATTTATGAAAAGGATGAATGACAGAGGCAAATATCTAATAGAAATCCCTTTTTAGTCTGCTAATTTTGGTTTTGGCTAAAAGTTCTGGAAACTATATTCAATTCACTCAAACACAAAGCAGCCAAAACCAGCATTACGGCTTGCAATTGGCAGGAACTCTAAACCAAACCCACAAGTTTGACCCAACTAGGTAATTTTGTTGATTGCAAAATTAATAATGATAAGCCACTACAGCAAACGGCATTCCCTACGCATGCCATAGTGTGTCGTGCATGTATGTCTTTCTCCAGCCTCGGTTACAGTCTTCCCATGATAACTGGAAGTATCCTTTTCTTAATCCTAAACTAGATTCTGAACAACCACATGCTGCACCTGTTCGTTCATCTATAAAATTTATTTTGCAGAAGGCACCATGATTTTAAACTTCCTCAAGAACTTCATTCATATACCAACGAGCAAGACTTTTCCCGTTTTCGTTTGCTACATGGCCTTTAAAAGGTTGCAACACTGGAGAAGGACAATACATAATACTCATGAAGCTCAGAATTACATCTTCGTCTCTAAATGATTAAAACCCTTAGCTGCTTTTGCAGTGTTATGTCCTTTGATACTTAACAATGTTAATATCAGTATGAATATTCCCTTCTATCTTTTGAAGCCACAAAAAAGATAAATACATAATGCTATGAACTCAGTATACAATTCTATAGCACATGTTATGCATTCTTCGATGAGAATGGATGAATGGATACACGCATGTCATGTTCACTTTATAGAGCCTGTCGAGCACTTGCACCAACAATGCCATGTCTCTATTGTGTGTTCCACAAATTCATAGCTCTAAATTACTTTCAAAAAATCCTGAGCTCCAAACATCACTGTCAATATCCCCTATATTCGCATTTGCAATTTAAACTAAAACAAACTGAGTCAAGATTGTCCTAGGGAAGACTTCTCATTGACACTAGTTCCTACAGAAAAAACCTGCCTATAAATTCAAGTAGAAAAATTTTCAAAGTAACATGACCCTTAGCGAAACTCCTGGACATCTTCGCTCCTTTCCAATTTTCCCAATGATATATTCCTGTGGTCTTTCGACTTCAAAGTGTCCTAATTCCTGTGGTTTTTTAATTCCTTTTCCAATCACCTAGACTAAATACACTCTAGGGGGCAGTGGTACTGCATCAAAGAATCCAAGGATAAACATCTACAGAAGAAACTTCTCTTTTTATGCAAAACTAACAAACTTTTAGGAACTTTGGTAGCTTAGGAAGAGTATATGCATCATAGCATAGAGTCCACATTCAAGCGCCTTTCAGATATCAACTACCGAGATTTCATTCTATAAGTATGTGCAAAAGAAAATAAGAGTACCTACAAAATTATAGATAATCCCTAGCAGCAAATTAACATTCACTATCGACAGAACAATACAAGATTATGATTTCTGCTGTCAAAGCTTTGATTCGATTACCATGGCTAAAGTAAAGTCAGCATACATTAGACAATATATTAACCAGATTCAAAGAAACCAAACCTTTGTGACTTGTCTTGAAGAACAATCTTTCATGCATGTCTTACCTTGAAAACCATCGATCAGCACCATTCTTCCTCGCAGTAGAAAGAAGTAGTGCACGTTCCCTCTCCTTTTCTTTCTTCTCCCGCCTCATCCTCATCCTCTCCTCCCTCAGTTCCTCTATTGTCTTTTTCCACGCATTCTTCTTCCCCGATCCACTTGCAACCATGAATCTTCCAACTTCCTCGTCAACAGTCTCTGACATGGCCGACGGTCGTGAGAGGTACCACGGCGCCTTCACCCCCTTCCCTACCAGTCCATATCCCAGCTTATACTTCTCGTCCTCGGGCGCCACCGACGCCGGATTGTCCTCTCTCCGCGGCTTCTTAGAGCTCTTGGATCCACCGTCTTCAGCCTCCTCCTTCCTAAATATCTTGCCATCACGGGGGATCCCTTCGTCCTGGGTGCCACCAAGGGAGGAGAAATCGGAGAGTCCGTCGAAGAGGTTAAAGTGGCGAGAGTCGTCATCGAAGGCGGGGGGGTTGCTGGTAGTGAAGACCGCGGGCACGGCGGAGGCGCTCGAGGCGGAACTCGGAGGCGGGACTCCTCGCGCTGGAGCTGCTCCTCGCGGGCAGCGGCCTCCTCGTCCCGGCGGACCTTCTCGCGGTTCTCGTAGTTGTACACGTTCCACCGCTTCCGCGGCAATATGTTGAGACCTCCGTGCCCCCTCCCATCGATCGATCGTCCTAGCGAAGATTAGGGTTCCGAGAGGAAGGGATCCAGGAAAATTATTTGGATTTCGTTCGCCGGTCGATTTCGTGGGAGCAAAGACGAGCTAATTACTAGACCTCCTTAGCATCCTTGTTACTATTTTTAAAAATTTATATTAAAATTTTTATAGTTAATAGTTATGTAACTGATAAAAAATATAATATATATATATATATGAATAACATAAAAATGATAGACAAAAATATAATTTTAATATTGATGATGAATCATTACATCGTGGGTGACTGTGATGATGATGGTTAACAAGAATAATATAATGATCAATCTTGCCAAAGTCGATATTCAAACATCGACAATAAAGATGAAAAGGAGATGAAGCGGTGAGGCATATAAGAACATTGCACTGCTTTGCCTCTTCTTTCTCCTCCGATATCGTTTTAAATTTGCATCAACATTAAAGAAGGAAGATGAGACTAACGAGGCATGATGAGAATGAGAGAGGAGGAAGAGGAGATAGGTGAGGTAAAGTGGTATAGCACAAGAGGAGGAAGAGGAGGTAAGTGAGATATCTACATCGATGTCGCATTGCTCTACCTCCTCTTTATTCTCGTAGATCATTAGATTGTTCAATGGGGCGTTGCATCGCTTCCTCTACGTTGGCGTCGTATTATCTCCTCTTCGTTCTCATATACTATCGATGTAGCATTGCACTACCTCCTCTATGTTGGCATCGCATTACTTTGTCTCCTCTTTGTTCTCGTTGACCACCGTATTGCTGGAAGAAGAAGAGGAAGAGGAAGAGGAGGCAAAGTAGTGCAACATCGATGTAGATACCTCACCTCCTTCCTCTTCCTCCTCCGGTGCTAACACAAATATAGATGCTTTACTGTTTTGTTTCCTCTTCCTCCTTATCATTGATGTTTAGATCGACATTAGCAAGATTAACCACCATATTGTTCTCGACGATCACCACCACAATAGTCATCGATGGCGTCATTATTCGTTATTATCATTTAAATTATCTTTTTGTCCATTATTTTTGTATCATTCATATATGTGTTTTCACGTGTTGTATCTTTCGTCATCTAGAGATCATGATGATAAAGAGGTTTGACTATAAAGGGTAAATTGTAATTAGCCCGAGCAAAGATGAGCAAATTGTAATTAGTCATCGATAACATTATATATATATATATATGGCGTTGGCAACTTTGAAAACTACTAGAATTTGATATTTACTTCCTATTAATTCCAGTAATAGAGTAGCAGTGGTAATAATAATACAATGGTGGTGTTTGCATAGAATTTGATGGGCTAGACCTATTAAAGATCGGCCCAGCCCATTTTCACATATCAGAATATATATATATATATATATATATATATAATGTTATCAAGAAAAAGAAAAAACATATATAGATGTGTACAACTTATATATAAATACTATAAATATTATACTAGTAAGCCCACAAGATAAATGGGGCATTAGCGTTAGACTCGATGGGATCGATCTTCTCTCAAACTCAAGTCAGAATGCATCAGAGTTAGAGATTATAATTATATCTTTTTTAAGATATATCTTTTTGAATCAAAAATTACGTGGTAGCTGAGTTGGCCGATCTTCCACGACTTATCAATGGCTAACATTGTTTACCTAAACAGCACTTCCGTCATCTGCATGCAGCTGAAGCATTTGTCAAGCTGCTTTAGGCCACACAATTTGGCAGCTCTTTTAATGTGCAGCTGCAGACCAAACTGAGGAGTTGTGGATGCCAATGCTTCTACTAAGATATCTGCTGATTCACCTCAAGACTTGAGACTGCGAAACTGATGTTTGCATGCAGCAGCACCACAAACCTGTCCTTTGTGTAGGAGCCTCATCAATGGAACCATGAAACAACACTGGTGGAGTGGGGAGAAGCGCAAACATGAGGCCATAAGAGAGTGTTGGATGCACAAGCTATGGAACACCACTACCATTAAAACAAAATGACCTTAGTGTTGGATGCACAAGCTATGGAATCCCAATATGAAACATAGAAATGTGCCTAACAAGCACTGAGTGGGAATCCCACCCATTGCCTCAAATTTTGTACCACTCAAGTCGTGAGATCAATACTTTCATGGAACTTGTTCTGGCCACTAATCAAAAAGTTCGAGTTGAGATATCCTTTACTATTTCTCAGGTGATTGCACGAAAGTTCCAATCATACAAATAAATAGCCATCATGAACTTTTTTTGTCCTTTGATAAAGAAGAAACATCAATTCGGCTCTTCTTGGCTCCATCTCACGACGTGCATTCAATTGCTGAACCGGATTCCAGTTTCTCAGACCAGAATACAAGCTCCACTTTGGTCCCATTCAATAATCGTGATTGAGATCGAGAGTGGACTACAATTAATAGCAATTGGTTAGGTAGGTTGCCATAAGATTCATTCATGTTTCTTAACATATTATGATTGATCCAACAAGGGAATCATAAATTCAATCGGTCAGCGGTTCGGTTCTCAGCCTTTTCGGTCTAATGATATTCGAATAACTATGGTTAGAATGATTGCACATAGATTACCTTTTCTTTAGCCAAGTGGTGTCTTAGCGCATCCTCCCCTTCCATACTTTGACCTTATCTATCCGCAAACTGCTTGTTTAGTGTGTCTCCCCATGCACTGCTTAGATGCTAAATATCTTGAGAATACTGACGAGTACAAGATTCAACCTGCAATGAGGGGAAGAGTTGTCTTTGATATCGTCAGATATGGTCTCACAAGTATTCACAAGATTGTGGATCAAATAAGTCTTCTACAGCACAAACATTGATTGCACACTTCCCATCTTGGAACTCACTAGCAAATGCTATAGAAAGAGAGGGAGACAGAGGCTGTTAAGCTGTGATTTGTAACATCAACTTCTACTCGATATGTGACTGATATCAACAAGGGGATCAGGTCGGGTAGATTCCAAACTCCAGGCGCAGGAGAAGCAGATGGAGTACAGTGAGAGGGACTTTGCAAGTAGGAACAGTATGTCCTTTGAGACAGCTGACGTCCGCATGCAGGATCACCACCAGCTTCAACTCCAGCCTACTGCTCCACGAACATATGTCCTCGACACTGATGTCTTCGTGCAGGATCACCACAAACTTTAACTCGTCTTCTGCCCCACAAACAGCGCAGACTCGAGTCGACTGATGTCTCGATGCAGGAGGAGGATTCTCACAGGCTTTGCTCGTCTGCTGAACCACCACAAAAGAACGGCATAAACGCAGGTGGGAGTGCAGAGAGCTCGTCGCCATCGTCTGCTGTAGAAAGGGATGTTTCGCCGTCGTGGTGAACATAAGGGAGAGGATGAGAGAGTTAACGTAGACTCATCAAGCTGCGGAAAACCACGTACGAAGAACACGGCGCACGTCACTTCCTTTCGTGAACGCAAACCATCCATCAATGCTGCTGTTCTTTTGTCGAAGCTGCATCGCCCATGAAACTTTTTTGAGGGATGATGTGATCTTATCATGTTAATAATTATCGTATTTATGCCCGTAAGATAATAGAAACAATATAAATTTTTTGAACGATATATAATTTCTAAGGTAAAAAAGTGATTTTTATTGCTGGAAATTTAATAGCCAAGCTATAAAATTTTTGTGTGCTATGCTTTTCCTCGTTACCCGATTAGTTTACTCGCCTTAGAATTGGAGGTAGCCTTTGTGCCTGCGTGGGACCCATTTAACGTCCTAAATCCCAATATATCATCTTACGAAGTGTGTCTGATATATACGTGGATATTTGTGGTGGATCATATATTATTATTTTTATTTCTTTTAATTTAATATTCATGAATTGTCAGATTTATACCGCTGAAGAATTTTTTTTTCCTATGATTAGTCCTCCCATTTGATCCATCACACTATGTATGCTGATAATATATATTTATATTCCAAAATAAATCATGTATGCTGAAATTGAGGACTGTTTAAACCCATAAAAATGTATAATATGCCAACAAAATCATAAAACTATGACATAGTTTATTTTTATTTTTTTAATTAGTAAAGTCATGATTATTTTAGAAGAAAGTCTCCAAAGGTTATATATAAAGGGGTGCAACACTAATTAATATCCATGAATTAGTATTAACGTTGCACCGCCGCAGCGACATGTGTCAGCCTATGACAAGGGTTGAAGCAGCAATGCGTGCACCTGGAAGCAATGCCGATCTGCGGTGGGACCCGGCGACTGGACCCCATCGGAAACAGCAGTGGAATATGCGGGCGGCCGAGGAGGGAACATTCGTGGAATATACGTGGAATATCCCCAGTCTGTGGCGTTACGAAGGGAATGACCGAGGAATTCAGCCTCGGCAGCCACCTCCACCGAGGCCACCACCGTGATTTGGCGCACGCGCGGGGCCACTGGCTGTCGCTGCCTTTCGTGGCTACAAATCCCCGAATCTGCCCCGTCGCCCACCTCCTCCCTTGAAGCGTGCGAGCGGCTGCAAAGCATTCACTGTCGGCACAAGAGAGAGATAGAGAGAGAAAGAGGGAGAGGGAAAAAGAGTTGGAATTGGTGCAAGCTTCTCATCCTCAGGTAACGGCGCACCCGACAAAGAATCCATTGTTTCCGAATTCTTGGAAAACAGTTCATCATCCAACATGCAATTTAGCGACATGATATCACTGGATTATGTTGGTATATTTTCTATTATTGAAAGAATTCATAATCCAATATGCAAACTTGCTGCATGTTCCTTGTATATTATGATGCGGGTATGTTCTGTTTATCTGGTAGGCAAAGTTGATGCCTTCTTAGACTAATTTTCCATCGGTTTTCTTTCCTTTTATCGATATCTTATTGTTCCATGGGCTCTGAGTGTATAGAACTTAGGTGTTTAGCTCGACCAGGGAACGTTAATTGGCTTCCTGCATCCCTAATTTGAGGTTCAGAATGTTAAAAGGCTCGGTCTTTTTATCTATGCACTGTTTTCTGGTCAAGATGCAATTTGGTACCAGTCGTAAAAAGATGAATTCATGCTGTATGCATTGATGAATTGAGTGTTCTTCGAGGAAACCTGCACTTGACAAGACTACATAATTATTCCATTTTTAGCTGAATGCCTTCTGTTCAGCTATATTGATTGGCATTGTTATGTTTCTACATCGAATTAGCTGTTTCAAGTTGTTTGATGTTTTCGTGTTCTCGTGCTTTTGTATTGTTACTATTTTATGTTCATGTGTCAGTTAATTCGAGTGGTCGACTGATAATTCTTCCTCAAAACAAAAGAGCAGTTGAATTCTCGTTTCTTATGCTATTTTCTAAAGTAATTCAAGGTGAAATGAATATTTGAAACATGCTGATGTATTTATTAATTTTTTGTTTATAGAGTATAAAAAGTTCTTCCAATTGCAAACGTCATATGTGAGACGTATTTAGTTTATTTCTTATTTGAATAAATTTGGTTAGCTTAAAGGTATTTCGCGTTTGTTATAAGTTGCTAGGTTGCAACATATGGAATATTTTTTATTTCCTAGACTACTCAAGGAGAAATCAAAGAAAACCAATGCAAAAAAATGCAAGAATAAAAATGCAACTTTTATTGAAAATTTCTAAACATAGTAATCAATAAAAAATATGTCAAAAGGGAAAATTATTTTTCAAATAAAATACGGAATGCTATATTCTTTTAAGAATGAAAGAACATATGATTTATTTGATTTAATGTAATTATAATTTTTATTTTGTAATTATTTTATTTGATGTAATTATAATTTATTCTTTTAAGAATGAAAGAACAAGATAATTTTTCTATTATGTTGCTCTGTTTATTTTCTCTCTCTTCCCTTTCTCTATTTTCAGATAATAATTCAGAACATACCATTTAGATTTAGTATCAAAACTTTTGGTTTAAGTAAGATGTCATATCATTAACATCGATACATATTTCAGTTTTATAAATTTGTAATGAGTTACTATGTCGTGAAAGCCTATTATATGAGACTAATTTACTTTATTTCTTATTTGAATAAACTTGATTAGTTTAGGGGTATTTCAAGTATTTAAAATATTTTTGATTTAGTTTCCTATATTGCTCAAGATGAATGAAAAGGAAACCAATACAAAAAGATAATTTTTTGTAAATATGGAAGTCTATCTCAATAATATATCAAAAGGGGAAGTTTATTATTAAAATCAGATATGGAATCCTATTTTTTTCAATAAGGTAATTGCATAGGGCTTGATAGGAGTTTCGTGCATTAGGTACACTTTCTCTTTGTATTTCTCTTTTCTTTCCTTGTACATGGTCGGGAAATGAAATCTAATGGAACATCAAAGAACATATGTGGAGGTGCAACATCTTCATCTTGAACATCCTATGAATATTCTGCTTGATATAGTGCAATTTCCATGGTTCACTTTACTAGTTCGTACCAATATACTAACCAACTATTGATACGGTACGTACCGAGCTATATCGAGCGTACCGAGCATACTGACACACGATACATGGGGTATACTAATGTACCGCTTGTATCGGTCTCTTGTCAGGCCAGTACATATTGTCCATATTGAGCGGTACACTACAGTATGGGGAACCTTGGCGAGTTCAATAGTTATCTTTTTATAATTATCTTTTTGTGGTTGTCTTCTCTGTTCTCCCGTTAATTTCAAATAAAAAGTTAAAACTCGTTCGAGATTAAATTTGATATTAGAGTTCTTGATCTAACCAAGATTTGGTTTAGTCACGATATTCTGTTATCATGACCAATTCATATATTAGTTTTATAAATTCAGGATGAGTACTACTCTCGAATATGATACAAGACCAATATTGTTTACTTTTTATTTGAATACATTTTATTAGTTTAGGAGTATTTCGAGTATATCATAAGTTGTCACATAACATCCAGGATATTTTTTGTTTAGTTTCCTAGATTGTTGAAATAGAAGAAAGAGGAATCCTTCAAGGAAAAAAAAGGAAAGAATCACAGTTTGATTTTGATTCAAGATTTTATCTGTACAAGGAAGACTAATCTCTATTTCATTTCTACAAATATTAAAGCTTATTAATTAAAATATAACAAAAGGGAAAGATTATATTACGAATCATATATGAAATGCTATCTTTTTTTAAGAGGTAAAGAACCAATTATTTATTTGATTTAATGTTTCTAATTTCTGTATTTTTTTTCTCTTTCATATACTTGGGTCTATAATATGAGGTTAATAAAATGTAATGGAACATCAGAAAATAGATCATTAAATTGAGTTTTTTTTCCACTTTATGTGTGTGAGGATGCATGAGACATTCAGAGTTGTGAGACCTCCATCATGATAGGATTATTCTTGAATCATAGAGAGTCAAGTAGTTATCTTTTTTGATGTCCAGTTATCTGTTTGTGGTTATCGTCCCTCTTGTTTCCTTCATTTATATTCAAATAAAAATTTAGAACTTGTCCTACATCAAACTTGTAATGCTATTGAATTATGGGCATGGTTATAAATTTCTGAATTGCTTGGCTTTTCAGATGGTGCTCTTTTTGTAGCAGAGTAACAGGCCATCAATCTTTGTAGACCAAAACATCCTCCTGATCATTGTTCCAAGAAAAAATATATTTGTTCGGTTGATGGATTCAACAGGTGAACAGAGAAGTGAAGCACAAGACAAGAGGCCCATCGGAGTTCGCTTCTTGGAGTACATCACGGGCAGTCGATTGAGCTTCAGAACATATCAAACGATTGTGTTGGTTCTAACATTCTTGGCATATGCTAGCTACCATGCTACTCGGAAAACCACAAGCATTGTCAAAAGCGTGCTGGATCCAGAGACAACGAGGCTGGGATTTTCCCATTGGTCAAGGTTTTACTTCCTCAGAACAGTTGAGGGGACTGAGCCAAAGCCAAGACTAAAGGATGGTTGGTCTCCATTCGACACTTCAGATGGCACTGCCATGCTTGGACAGATTGACGTTGCTTTCCTTTCTGTCTACTCTCTTGGAATGTACTTTGCTGGGCACTTAGGTGATCGGTTTGACTTGAGAATCCTTCTGACGATTGGAATGGTGGGGACTGGAATCTTCACTTCCCTCTTTGGTGCTGGTTATTGGCTCAACATACACAGCTTCTATTACTTCTTGGCAGTTCAGATGTTAGCTGGTCTGTTTCAGTCCACAGGATGGCCATCGGTCGTGGCTGTTGTTGGGAATTGGTTTGGAAAGAAGAAGAGGGGACTGATCATGGGGATATGGAATGCACATACTTCAATAGGAAACATATCTGGATCGCTGATTGCTTCTGCTTTACTGAAGTATGGTTGGGGTTACTCATTCGCTGTTCCTGGCCTTTCTATCGCCCTTACTGGGTTGATGGTGTTCTTATTCCTTCCTGTTTGTCCTGAGAAAATCGGGATTGAAAGTGAGGAAGATAGCCTGTTGAAATCCCCTAAGAAGAACGGAATTACTGAGCCTCTGTTGGAAGGACGATCAGATGAAAAAGAAAAAGCAGTGGGCTTTTTTGAGGCATGGAGGATTCCTGGTGTTGCACCATTTGCTCTCTGTCTCTTTTTCTCCAAGTTGGTGGCTTATACTTTCCTCTATTGGCTTCCTTTTTACATCAGCCACACAGGTACATCTTTTTATTAGTTGGTATTCATGTCAGAATATAATGTCTTTTGTAATTTTAGATGGGGAGTATTTAGTTCCAGTAAATATAAATGTATTTGAATGTTGGAATATCAAAAATGTTTTCCTAGTACCTCTATCCATGATTTATGCCTAAAAGTATCTGGCATGATGCAAAGGCAACACTGAAACTGGAGTCGGCCACATATCAAAAATATTTCATCATATTGAAATCATCAAATCATGTTTCCACATTAGTACTAGATTTATCTCATCCCTAGACCTTGCATTAGTGGGAGACTCATGCTGAATGCCTTGGTACTTGCTTTGGGGTATATAACTTTCGTCAGGCTTATGCTAATTGTGCAGATTTTGTACATCCGTTCATTTTAGTTTTAAGGCTTGGCCAATGTCACACCCAGAGTTAGGCATCCAGCATGTTTCCTGTTAAACAAGTGCATTAGGGGAAAAAAAACTGATGCCTCGGTACTGTTGCGAAAACTTAATTGTGATACTGCTGCATTGCATTCATCTATTTTTCTGATGTTGTGTTCCTAGTTATTTCACGTTCTAATACCATGAAGCATTCTTTATCGTGCAGCTATCGACGGAAGCTACTTATCTGATTCAACAGCAGGGACGCTATCAACATTGTTTGATGTTGGAGGTGTTGTTGGCGGCATCCTCGCTGGCCATATCTCTGATCGACTTGATGCCCGTGCATTGACAGCAGCTGGCTTCATGTACTGTGCCATTCCTGCTCTCTTCTTCTACCGAATCTATGGCAGCATCTCCCTATACTGGAATATTGCTCTCATGTTTGTCACTGGTATGTTTGTCAATGGTCCATATGCATTAATAACAACAGCAGTATCGGCAGATTTAGGAACACATAGCTCCCTAAATGGGAATTCCCGGGCCTTGGCCACCGTGACTGCTATAATAGATGGCACAGGGTCAGTGGGTGCTGCCATTGGCCCGCTGCTGACAGGCTACATATCAGCCAAGAGCTGGAGTGCAGTGTTCACAATGCTGATGTCAGCCGCACTGGTGGCTGGGCTTCTCTTGATGAAACTTGTGGTGGCTGAGGTGTCTGCAAAGATGGAGTCTGCTAGATTGCGAGCCAATTGGCGACAGAGATCACCTGTTCCTGAGCTCCTTGTATAACATAGCTATGTTATTTTAGGAGGTGAAAAGCTGCGAGCAGGTCCTCTATTTATTTTTTTCAGAGGAGTGGCTCTTTGTTGCTTGACATGAATAAGAGCATTGCTTTGGTCCTTCGACAGCATGCCCTCATTGCAATGGAAGGGTCACTATATTTGGATTCAGTTTTCATGTTCAGAGCCATGCTGGTTGAAATGGGCTACATTCTGCAAATTCTGTCTAGAGTCATTAAAGCTCAGGTTCACACTAGTTTTGATGAGCAGGTGATATTAAACTTCAGTCCTTTTCATTGTGCTTATGGCTGCTAGAGTCCAATATGACATATTTGAGCTGCTTGACACAGTCGCAATATATTATCTGTATATTTTTTCTTTTTGTGCTAATGGCCTCTTTGAAATAAATTGCATTTGTAATCGAAACACCTTGTTCTGGATCTTGTATAAAGCACATTACACACTTTATGTCTGCTGCTATTACTCCTGATATTGGTCTTCTGCTGTATGTATTTTGGAAGGTGTAGCAAAAATATTTATTTTGTGATTTGAAGAAAGCTTCGATTGTGCTAAAAGGTCAAATTATATCTTTCCACCAAAAGTATCTATTACATTCAGCAATACTATGAAACTTGGAATATATCAAGTAGAGGGCATTTCACTGCTTGGTAATTCTGTGTTATAGTTGTCATCTAAATCAAGGAAGAGATGCTTGGAACACTAAATTTGAGACATTTTTATAGGATGCTTGTTCTGACTGAACCATTTTTATTGGCATGATGGAATGATAAAATGTGTTTTTGGAGTCAAAGAGTCTGTAAGATGCATAAGGAGTGAGTACCCCAGCTGATGAAAGATTGTGAACAACATCAGCCAAGTCATTTGTGCTTAATTGCATCTGGATTGAAGTACATCAGCAGAAGTCCCTCAAGTTGTAATTTATCTTGAGCTTGGGTCAGTCTTATGAAGTATTTTGCTTCTTTGAGTCAGTCTAAATGCAATGTGTTAAATGGCTGGTTTCTTTGCCTTATTGTATGCATCAAATTTCATCATCTTCATTTCTCTTCATTTGGTTACTTTCATAGATACACACACATGTATGTATACATATATGTTTTATTAGTATATATAATAAAATACAATTATTTTTTTTTATTAAGTTGGAAGTAATTTTTTCCCTCTTAACATAAAACTGAGTCAAGAGTGTGAGTCAGATAATAACCCAACTTCTACAATAATGAGAGCAAGAGAAAGGCATTAGTTAATTAGACTTCCTCATGCTGTTAAAACATATTATATCCTGAAGACTTGTGGTTAGGCTTCACAATCTACCATCAATTATTCCTACCACCACTATTTGTGGAAGAAATACAAATTCATGAAACTTTGTTCTTTCAAGAATCTTGTCAGGGAAGTACAAAAGCATCCCATTGTCTTCTACCTTTTCATTGATCAAATGCCTCAAGGCAAGCTTGACAGTTGATGGAAACACCAAAGGAAAAGAATTATTCTGCTCTTTTCCCACTGACAATTCACATCTTATCTGAACTAAAGCTTCTCAGGGAGGCCTTTTTAAAGGGAAGTGTTTGCAAAGCTTGTGGGATATTTAAAGCATCTCCAATGTGATCATGAGAATATAATCTTTAGAGGCCTTCCACTTGTTTTATGCTAGACTATGATCATGATCATGATCACAAAAGGAGATAGATCAGGAATAACTTTTGGATACTTGACAAATGTTTGCGAAACACATGCCCATATGACCTTGATTTATTGTTGTTGTCATTTGGCAGTCTTTAGAGAAAAATACTTTACAAGTTACTATTTGCATTGTGTGATGGTGGAAGAATAATTGACATAACTTAGCCACTAGGTTTTTTGAGGAGGAGGAGGAATCAAGTTCTTCCATTAATGGTGATCCACCACTTACCACACAAAGTTCATGTGCTTTCTACCTCATCATGATCATTGTCCTTGTGAGATCAAATCATCTCATTGTATTCCCTATTTTCTATGATTGAGAATTTGATTCCCTACACACTCCCTGTCTACTTCCACAACAATTTATAAATCCAAATCATCTTCTAATGGTTAGGCTAGTCATTATCTTTTTTTTCTTCAGTTTAGGAGAAAAGAATTCTTGTTTTATATTTATATATATATATATAAAGATTTAAGTACTGAAGATAAGATTCAATCTCAAGATCTTACTATCAACAATTAAAATCTTTGCCTGTTAACATTGGAAGAATTTATTGATTTTGAATTCTTAATCTTGAATTAAATCATAATTCAAATGTCTAAGCTATATAACATAGAAATGAATGAGCATAAAGCATTCATGGGTGTGGGGGTCCCAAGTAGGATGCCTCATAAAAGTTTGGCTCACAAACTTAAGATAAGAATGATTCTCCCCCCAACTCTTATCTCAATGGCAACTGCCCCAAGCAAAGGAGATAGAGAGTGGAGCACTCCAAAATGGAGCTCTTTAACAAGCATATATAGGTAGGTGGACATCAATCCTTTCAAGTCCATCATAGGCCATAAAATATAAGACCTTGCAAGGTATTGACTGAAGAACAAAAGCTTTAAGAACAAAGGAGAACCCGTGAAAGAGACATGAGCAGTGATGATTGGAGTTGACCCACTTTTTCTTACTAGAAATGAGGAAAGAATAGAGAGAGAGAGAGATGTGACTGAAAGGGAAATAAAGCTTGAAGCTCATGATTTGGAAGTTACTCATTCCAAGTTCATTCAATCTTCTACACTTTGTGGGGTCATTCTTTCACTAACTACAACTATTATCATCATCATCATCAACATTACCACCACCATCTAGTGCAAGAGTTAAGATATATCACAAGTCCAACTCGAGCATGAGTAGTGCACCTCTTTTGGGGTATTATTTGCATGTAAAAAGATGTGTGGAAAGGGAGGGAAGCGTTGGCTCTACGCGGTTTGTGGAGAGAGAGAGAGAGAGAGAGAGAGAGAGGATGGAGTTCGTGAAGAGAAGAGGAAAAGGATTGCCGTCGGCGAGGCATCTACAAAAGTGTTGGGTTATCAGCACCTCATGCGCTTGTCACACCAACTGTTGATTGGATGATGGTGGTCGATGTGGATCAATCCAATTCGTGTTCATGTCCTTATGAATACGATCTTGTAACATTGTCCGTTTGCGATTTGGAAAATGAAGGTAATCTATCGAGGAAAGGATAGAGAATCCAAATGCAGCTTTTGAGCTTGTGCAGGGGCGACCATGCACCATGGCCGTCGACCTCCTCCCGGGGGCATCGAATCCCATGGAGGAGGAGGAGGCTTCGCCTCTCCTCCAGTGCCAGCCTTTCTGGCGATCAAAAGGGAGGAACTCCATGGGAGCTGAGCCCAGAACTTTAGGGTTTTGCTTCCCACTGCATGCATGCAGGTTGCGTTCGACGTAAAAGCACGAGGCCATGGGGAAGCTTTTGTTGCCACCGTGCTCGGAGCCCCCCAGAAGTGTTGTTTGACCCAACCACATGAATGGAGTCGAGTTAATTAACCTGGGTTTAGGAGGAAGAAAGAACATGCAAGAGATAGAGAATGCATTTTAGCCATCACATCATCTTCTTCATTCCATGCACTTCATAAGGAGCGAAACTAAGGGATGTAATAACCAGCTTGGCTTTTCTTCGTGCACTTTGCCTGCAGCTCATGCATGGAATCAACATCAACTTGTTGCCATTCCTGTCCTCCCAAAGTGTACATTCCTTTCCCCATTGTACGTTTGAGGTGATTCTTAAGTTCCCCATCTTTCCCAAGAACATGGTCCTCTAATATCCTACCCCAGTGCCTCAGCTTTACAGTGCAGAGGAGGACCACAATGCAGGCTGTGATCCTAAAGTGTCCTTGGAAGGTTTTAATCCTTCAACCACATCTGGTCACTGAATTCAGCAGACATGCTCTGCATTAGGGCAGCATTCTATCTCTCTCTCTCTCTCTCACTCTCTCTCATCTATGCTTTTGTTTTCTGAAGATGAAAATGATTGATCAGCTTGAGGCATCCCCAGTATCTTGTCACCATCCACAGCACAATCTCTAAGACTGGCATGAATCAAGTAAACAGTAGAGAGATGTATAACCAAACAATATGTATGCCAAATGCTCAAACAAACCTGGCTTGGTACCTTCTTCTGACCAACTTGTCTACCACTGCAAAAGCTTCACGCTACCAGGGAATGTGGAGGGGTAACATGAAGTAGAACTGCATGGTGAAAGATCAAACAAGAATGTTATGTGATTCCAAGAACTCAAAACTATCACAAACCAGAGCCACACTTGTTCAAAAGCAGGATGTCTTGAAGCAATCTTGAGTGGTTGGTTATTTGGAGCTTAAAGATTAACATGATGTAGAACTACTAGGAGAAGAAATAGAAATAAATAATGTATGTTACGTACTGGGAGACAAAAACACTTTTCCACATGGAAAAAGGAGATTGTACAGACATTGATTTAAGATTGAAAGCAGACAAGCTTTTCAACTAATGGAGGAAGAGGAAATATAAACTACAGAGTTTTTAAAAGAAAGAACAATACCTTGATGTCATGTGGAATGGTACAGAGACCATGTGAAGGATTAAAGAACAAACATTAGTTTAACCCGATGGATCACAATTAGACTGATTTGCCCGGTGTTAGCCCTACATACAATGAATCATTGCACTCAGAGCAAAGACTGTATCTGCCCCATCAGTGAGTGGCAGGTCACTACCCAGCAGCCAGTGTCATTTGATCGATGTGTTGTCGTTCATGAATGGAGGACTCTTCTTGTTTGATCGAACAAATTCGGTGTCCAAGAAGACTGCCCTACAAACAATGAGAACATACAAATGTCAATTGCAATAAACAAAAGCTAACATGGCCCCTTGTGCTACGACGACAAATTACTATCACAGAATTTGATGATTGAAACAAGTATACAAGATCAAATTACTAATTACTTGCACGTGCCTGACAGGGACAAAACGTCACCATTAAAGTATCACATTCTCTACAGTAACACCAACCCAGGTATGTCGCTGTCAGTAAAATAAATTGGGATAGACATAGGGCCTGATAAAACTCTGACCATTCTTGCTCTGGAAGATCTCATTTTGACTGTAATATGTGCAGCATAATCACCAAGATCCATCTACCCCTCGTAAACATGATCCAAATTCCTCATCCATGTTGCCATAATTTAGCATCCCAGATTACTACAGTAGATGCACTAGAATGCCAAAGTTGGCGATCCAATGTCATCCACGTCACTCGATCATACAAATATAAATTTATTAAAGAAAAACAAAATTAGATAGCAATAAAAATTTCAGGTCAATATGACCTGGAGACAATTTCTTGGACTGAAGAATATTTTACAAGACAAGGATAAGATACGTACATCAATTCTTCTAGTACAATTTTAAATCTAAAGTAGTTTCAAGTGAGCATCAACAAATGCAGCACGTCTTATTTCACTGCCACCATAGAGAATGGCCATAAGTGCCAGATATCTATAAGCAACTGATATGAGAAGAATCAAGTTTCCGATAGTGGAAGGATTGTTCCTAGCAAAAGCAATTTTTTCGGCATGGAAATTCCATCAGGATGATATCGATAACAAAAATGTAAAATGTATTTTAGGACTATTCAAGATACCATGAAATCAAAAATTGCAACACAAGTCTATGGCAAACATAAATATTATGACAGCAGTGCCACAGAAAACTCTCAAGCTCAATTGATGTGGCTCCAGTAGCACACTGAAATAAGCAAGGATGCAGAGGAAAAATAAATCTGAAACTGATTATTTCTATAGATAGAAAAACTTTACCATCCCAAAAAGAGTCTTCGAAACAACAGCATGGTCCTTTTATTTTCTGACTCTCTCAAGTAGGTTATAAACAAATAGAGGATCATAAATAACAATTTTACCTTATCGATAATATCAGATGCTTTAGAAGTTCAAAAAAAGAAATAACAAGCCATATGCACATGCCAAATACTCATCATTTGTGGTTCCAATGGATGAAACCAGTAGTAGTTTGAAATGAAACTAAACCCGAAAAGAACCTCAGACAGAACAAATCTTTCAAGTAATGCAAACAATAGTAATAATGAGTGGTGTAGTCGAGAGATTTTTTTGGCACTAGAACCCATGAGATAAAGCTAAACAAAAAAGGAGTTAGAAATATTTACTGGCAAATTGGAAAGATAAAGCAAGCCCCATTCTTTTGGACTGAATAACATGAATCACTTTTCAGATGCATTGTTTTGGATGAAAATTGTGACTTACAACGACTAGCTGCTTGTGCAATCTGATCAGGACAATTGACCAAATTAGTTAATTTACTCACCACTCTATGATTACTTGAGTGAAATAGGTTAGAATGAGAAATTCGCATTAAAAGGATTCCAAGGAATATTCTTGAAAATAATATTACAACATAAAATAGGCGTCAGAATATGTGATAATTGATACATTGTAGACCAGACCTGTCAAATAAATCTCAACTTTTGACTCAGTTTTACCTCAAAGGAAAAAGTAAATCCAATAATCACCAACCACTAGTTATAAAAGGCCACCCTCACTACTCAGGAAGTGGAGAGATGACATTCACACCCCGGTCTTTTGGTTTCCTAAATGAATGTCTACCTGCAAACAAAAATCATCTGGAAAGATCACATGCATGGGACCTATAAACAAAAATCATCTGGAAAGATCACATGCTGTCCCATGCCCAGTAGATCAGACCATAAGTTAAATGCTACAACTAAATGTAGAGCAACATCACACATTCCAATCCATGTATAACTATCAACTATGTACCCACAGACACAGCCCTGGCTGCCTTGAAGGATGAAACCCACTGGTAATCAGGTAAGGTTAGGACTGTGTAGGTCACAATATGAGATGTTTGGTTTCATACATTGAGATATACACAATATGAGTATGCCTTCTCCATTAGAATGAGTTTGTTCTGATCCTTTCAGATAAGCCCTCATACATGTGATTGTTGTTTCTTTTCTTAAGATGGTGAAATGATACTTGGGTGTCCTAAGCAATTATAATACTGAAGTCTCATCAGGAGTTCGCATCAAATGAGTCCTGAACATGTAGATAAGCTTGGCATACAGTTGACACACTCACTAGACCATATGTTGTTACAATACTCGTATAAAACAAGATGTGTAATGGCAATTCCTCCTTAATACTCACAATTTAAACATTATGACACAGAATTTTGAACTCACAACCAACATTTTTGTACAAATTTGCATTTCAGAGTCTTGTTAGTCCTTTAATAAGTCTGCTGGGTTGAGAACATATGTTGACCTCCCTTGATCACCAGGGGACTGATTAACAGAATGGAGTCCGTTGCTGACAGTTCCACTGTGGTACTGAAATTTGTTTTGTGCATACTGCATAGTTGTGAAAAGAGTGTCGAGACCCCAACATCACATATCTTCTAAATTTGAATAGATTAAGTTGATCTTGTTCTACAAGCTCCATGGTTATTTTCCCACTAGAGTAACCTTTCAAATAGATTAACTAACTTTCCCTTGGAGTTTTATATAACACTATACACAGTATATACTTAGTCTTGCTCTTTGATTTTATAAGTAGCTTAGGAGCAGGCAACAAATATTCGTTATACAACCCTCATCATGATAATTCTAGTTAAATTTATTGTAATTTTCAATCAACAACGATTGCAAAAATTAGTAGGTCTTGATCTCACAACTTTTTACTCGGATGTATTGTCCCAATACTAATTTCACCTACTTAAATCAAAATACCTATGTTTCTTCAGCAAATCAAACCTTCGTTGAAAAGGAAGCAAAAGAAACCTTGGGAGCTAAATTTGAAGAATCATGAATTAAGGTATTCATTATCCAGTAGTCCTGCTACCCACTAATTTCATTGTCTTTCCAGATTAATATAAATGATGAAATGCTGAGAAGAAAGAAATAAAATAATAATGTTTCAATGAATGTGACCATATTGATAATTTTACACATCTTTAATGAAGTCTGATGATTTAACAGCTATTGTATATCTGATAATAATTTTCATGTCAAACCCATTACAAACTGAAGATGAACTGACCAGTTTCATATAAATTATACAGAAGAAACAAAACCCAGGTCCACCTATCATTATCTTATCAAAATAATAATAACTTGACAAATAATAAGGCCATAATCATCAAGATGCACTTAAACATTTTCAGAAGCAGAAACATAGAAACCCCAATGGATGTCCAATGTGCCAATGTCATTTTACTTGGAAACAAATCCCTCAATGATCACATGGATTCAAGATGCGATATCAGTAGAGACAACACCAAGAGAACAAAAGAAGTTACCACTATAGAAAATTACGTTATGACAGCATCTAGGCCCAACAGAGTTCGAGTACCTAAAGTGCCAACTTCTGCCAGAGATTTGCAAGGATCAGGAACAAGGATAACATGCCTGTCTGAAAGTAGTTCTTCAGCCCCTCCAAGCTGACACAGAGACAAGCTCCTTGCGCTGCCAGTAAAGGTAAAGAGAGGCCTGGCGCTTCTCCACATGAAATCCTCTGATCTGCACCCTCTTTAGAAGGCATTCAGCCTGTGTTTCTGTAAAATTGCTGAATTGGATGGGCACAAACCCTGCAGTTTCAAAGAGCGTTCGCCAGGGAAGCATCTTGTCAGCTGCACAGTATCTCCCAAGAACAGAACTCTCTATTTTCGGTTGTAGCAAGAACCTCTCAATCTTGCTGGCTGTATCTTGGTTGGTCCCCGATGCATCAATGGAATCCATAAGTACCAAGGAGGACTGGAAAGCATGGAGGAAGTGCTGCAAGAATGGCAGGTCACTCCGATCACACCCTTGGTCAACTGAGACCACAATCTTCGGAGAGAGTTGCTTCACGAGGCGGAGGAGAACTGGGAAGGAAAGGTTTGCAGAACCTATAGGGAGATTTACTGCTATGGCTTCACCTCCCAAGCCATGGAGCTCTAATGGATCAAATGAATCAAGGCTACGAACCTTAAGTTCAAAGGGAATGTTAAGGTCACTTGCAAAATGGGAGAGGTTGTCCTGGATAAGGTGGAGCTCCATGTTGTTATGGGAGTAATGTGACACAAAAACTGTAATTTTGAGCATCCTTACTGCACCTGCCGAAGAACAGCGCCTTTGTGCCAGCTCCTGCATGAAGGAGGACCATTGTCCACCAAACCCAATATCAAAGTCCATGATGTGGATGCGGTCACAGCCATCGAGCTCTTCCAGGAGGGCCTGGATGCACGTGAAGTTTGAGAATTGGATGATGGGTGAGACCTCGGAGAATGCCTTGTATGCATTGAGCTTGTGCACAACGTCCAAATGAGTCATCAGGGGAGCAGAGAAGGTGCTCTGCTGACGATGGGAGGTTGGAGTTGCAGAGAGGATTGTGTTAGATCCGTTAGAAAGGATCAGTTGCAGTGCCTCCTTGAAGTAGAAAGCAGAGCGGATAAGGGGCTTCCCCGAGGGAGAGGGAGAGGGGAGTTGGTGATTGAGCCGCGCCAATATCCCATGTGCGCCGACGAAATTTCGGGCCTCTACCATCTTAGCAGCCTCGAAAAGCAGATCGGCCAATGCGTGTTGTAAGTGCAGCTGCTGCGCAGCCACAGCTGAGGTTACATCGTCCACGAAAGCTGCCACCTTCGGCTTCACTGATCTATTCTGGAGCTGACGCAGAGGAAAGCCGTGGCTTTGCTGCTGGTATGACTGTCGCCGAAGGAAAAGATCTGAGTTGGCAGCGGAGTCCAGGAAAGGAAGTTTCTGAGGAATTTGGTCGGCAATGGCGGGGTGGCGCTTCAGCTGGGTGGGTGGAAGGAGCTGCGGAAGCTGCTGCTGCTCAGCATGCCCCGCGCTGAGGAAGAAGGGCGGGTTCGGGGTGGCTGATGCCTGATTCAGAAGAAGGCCTGGGCCAAACAATTGTGGCTTGTCCAACACGGTATCTGGGAAGTACATACCCTGTGGTAGTGAGAGCGGCGATGAGATGCTGTTGCCAGCCTGCGGCGGCAGCGAGAAGAACTGACTTCCCGTTTGGTGGCCGAAGGTGGCCCCTTTGATGTTGGCGTGCACGATGGCCGGAGACACCCTGCTACTGCTGCTCACGAGCGAGAAGCCACCACCAGAAGCAACGTTAGAAGACAGAGGAAGAGAAGAATCCGTAGGGGCCGAGACGGACGCCTCATCCGCAGTCCTCCCAATAGATGCAAGCCCAATGCCTGGGTCGAGAATCCCAAACCCTAACCCGTTACTGTTGCCATCGAACTCCACTGAGCCGTGGGATAGGAACTGCTGCTGGTGCTGCTTAAACCCGGCCGCAGAGGGGTCGTCGACATCCCCCATGATCCACCGGAAAAAGGTCTGCTCCCGGCCAGGGGAGGCCGCAGAAGTCTCCGAGAGTATCGCCTCCCAATCGTCGACACCAAGACCGCATTTTTCGCCTCCAGCAACGAAACCCATATCAAGCCCGGTCGGTATCGGCTGCAGCTCAGCAGCCCACTCCTCCTTCCCGACCGCACCACCGCTCACCTCGGCGGTGGAGTCGGCGAGAACCCATTTGTTGGTGGGGATGTCGGAGACCGCCGCCACTCCGGCGGTGTCGGAGGAGCCGCCGCCCAGGGAAGAAGACAGTGTGGCTGTGGAGGTGGGAGGGCTAGGGCTCCTGTGATCAAGCACCGATCTTGGCTCCCTTCCCTGTTGGATCACCAACTTGGGCCTCTTATTCACCCAAAACAGAGCCTGGTTCCCCTCGAAGATTGTCTCCACTGCTTCTAGACCCCCCTTCCCCTGGCCATGATAGGGCAAACCCCTCATCTAATGCTTCATACAAGACGCCAGATCTAAGTTTTCTCACCTCACTCACAGAGATGGAAAGAAGAATAAGAGATCTTGAGAGATGAAATAGTAGAAGCCGGACAAAGATGAGATCTTTTATGCGTCCACCAACGGGAGTATAATACTAATCCCTCCGTTTCAAATGACACATGGTGCAAGCTTAAGCGCCTCTTCCTCTTTCTGCTCTCATCTCTCGGCTCTCTCACTTCAAAGACCTTTTTTTGCCCTTCTCCTCTCCTGTGCTCCTGCTTCTGTTTGAAATCTTCTATCTTTCTCCGGGGGATGGACTGTGACCGGAAGGAGAGGGAAGAGGAACGGCAGCAGCAAGAGAGTAGTACGCTGTACGCCTCTCAAAATTGCCTCTTTCTCTCTGTATCCTCCTCTTCTCAGCTTGCCATGGATGCTTGCAGCATAAAAAAGCAATAAAGTGCGTCCCCTCCAATCTCTACCTCCCTTTCTCTCTCCAGAATTATCTCTTTTCTTTGCTATCCTCCCTCCTCCCCGCCCTCCGTCGCCATTGTATAATCGAAGCCTTGGCTTCTGACATCCTGCAGCGACTCGCCTTCTTAATGCGACACTGTTACTTGGAATCCCGGCCGTCAAAAGTATAGCATCATATTTTTGATTTATGACCAAAATATCCTCAGAACACAGGAAGGAGGTCGTTGGAAATTGGGGCTGTTTCCGTCTTTCAACACGGCCCTCGTTTTGTGACGCTTCACGGAGTTGAAAACGCCGCGACGCGACACGACACGACACGCTACCTTCGCCGAAACGTTATGTATCGAGCCGACACGATATGTGGATGTGGTTCCGTAAACGGTTGAAATCGGTAGAGATAGAGTTCGTTCGTTGTTCGCGGACCAAAAGATGCCACGTGGTACGCGCTGGCGTCATCTCCACGTATGAGATCTGATATCTGATACGAATCTAAGGGCGGGTAAAAACGGGGTAACTCCAAACTGGTGCGTCCAGATCTACTGAGATGCCACGTGGAGCCTTCCCGAGTACTCAATCAGCTGCACGTTTTCCAACAGCGACCAGCCTTTGATTTCGCTCGTGGAGGACGTGGCGTCGTTGAAGGCTGTTTGGTGTTCGGCGACGTAGGGGAGAAAGCACGAAGATCGAAGGCCGTCAGATACGTAGGGCCCACGATCGACTACAATTGATTACAAGATAATTGAGTGAATTCCACTTGAATCATCACATATTTTGTGGTGTGGATAATAAAGGTGTTTTTTATGAGTTTATATTTCCTTCTCAAAATATATATGATCATACATTCTAATGGAGGCCATATTAACCATCATTATGCATATGCTATGTTGTCAAAAAAAATGTTTTCTCAGTAACTATGTTTTCTTTTTTTTTTCTTTACTTAGTAAGAGTCATTCAAATCACACCAAATAATTTTGGGTGTCATAAAAAAAAATCAAAGTTTTTTATGAATTATATTTTTGCTCCATATGATATGATGTTCAGAATGAGATTTAGTTTCTTTGTTATGCATTAAATAAGTTTTTAAGAAATAAAAAAATATATTTACAACAGTTCATCCTTATCGATCTGTATCGATATATTGATTAACAATCGATACAATATGTATTAAGCTATATCAAACGTATCGAATATATCGATGTATAATGCATAATCTATATCAATCTCCTATTAATATTTATTTACTTTTCACCTTTTATATCATCTAAATAATACTAATTTAACTATCCACATTAATAGAATAGAATTCCTTGATATGCCAAGAAGGAAGGAAAGAGATTATTAGAGAGTTAAAATTATCTCCCAACAGGAGATGTATTATTAGAATTTTTTGACATGACAAAAATAGGAAAGGAGAAAGATGATTAGAGAGCTAAGATTGTCTCCACCCATCAAAGAATGTATCACTAGAATTCTTTGATATGGCAAAGAAAAATAAATTATTAGAGAGCTAAGATTGACTCCACCCAACAAGGAATATATTACTAAATTTTTTTGACATGATAAAACAAGAAAGGAGAGAGATGATTATAGAGCTAAGATTGTCTCCACTCAAGCATTACTAGAATTCTTTCACATGACAAAACAAGAGTGAGAGAGAGAGAGAGAGGAAGCTGCAAGTTGCCTCTGTCCAACAAGGGATGTGGTATTTATTGTAGCTCATTTAAAAGTTTATTGAATGAGACACTCAATTTAGTACAGATTGTTGAGGAAAGCCATGGTTGTGACCTCACTCACACCCAACCAAAATAGTTTTGTCTGCAGCCCCATGTGGTTGCCAACTCTCATTCATTTGCTCCAAACCTAAAAAACCACCTCATCATGTAATTATGTTTGTTCCAATATCTGTGATGTGGACTTAATTCAGAAGATAGTAGTATTAAAATAACAATGTCAGATCATTTCAGAAGCTATGTACTAAATTAACAATGCAACCCTGCTCTTAATGTAATTCCATGTGATGAGGAAAACAGAAGATGTAAGCTGCTCTCAATCCTTTCAATAACACAAAAGGTCAGCTCCTCAGCAGCTGTGGACTGATGTCTCTTCCTTTCTGTCAGTCCATATATAACATTTTCTTTGAGTTCTTTGCTGTGCAATGGCCAAACATCCAACCTATCTCCTTCTGTAGCTCTTTGAATCTCTGCAGAAGAAAGTGCAGATTCCCATAGTTTCCTGGTAATTAACTTCACAGCCAAAGGAACAAATGCCTGAGTTGGGACAGAAGATAACCTGGGGACCCTTCAATGAACCACAAATCCTTCGTCTTCATTGTCAGATATTTCCATTGAATTGACCTCTTCCCGGTGCATAATAGTAGCTTCACAGTAGCAGATGCATCCGAAAACTAGAATCGATCAAACCATCTGCTATCTCCCTGAATAATTCAGAAATGTCTCAGTCCGATGTTGCAGCTGTGGATGTGATTCTATCCACCAAAGCACTGAAGCATAGTGAATAGCAGGATATATCTGATGGGCAATTCTCCCTCCTTCAACCGCAGACATGTCAAGGTAGAGCTTCCTTTGTGCTTGGTTCGACTCCACCAAAGAACATGCTGCTCTTCAAGTTTGCAGAAAGACTAAATTGAATTCAGATTCCCTTCATAGAACACTAGCAGATGGTCAGAAAAAAACATATATATGGCTGACAGTAAGTTTCTTACACCACCTTATTCAATGTCCAGTGCAAGAATTCCATGACAAGGACAAAGAAGGGGACACTGAGTCCCCTTGCCTTGACTCTATATTTCCATTCAGAAGGATAACATAAGTGCAACATCCATTGTATATGAACTTGTCTGGAAGACCCAGGTAAGGTATCACCTCCATAAAATTCCAAGCCCTGAGATATGTTACTCCTGTAATGACCTCTGAACACAGCTCAGAGAGAGACAGAGAGAGAGAGAGCATATTACCATCTCTACATGCATGGCCAACCCATTGCTGCAATAGCTGCTGGAGTGAACACCAACTTGGAACCTTCCAATGCTGCTGCAATCAACACCAACCATGCAACAGTTTCCTTGTAATAATATAGATTAGGAAAGGTCCTGTCAATCTACTTAGCTATGCACATGCAATCTCCTTCTCCTACAGTGTCTATGATATTATTATTATTAGATGTAGGATTAAGCTTGTTGTTGTTGCAATGGAGAAGGTGTTGTTGATGCAGTTTATGCTGACAACAAGCTAATAGTTTAAAGATGGATGTTGAATTGTATACACAACAACACCTAATTAGGAAGATAGCCATAAGTCAAAGGAGACATAGCATATGCTCTCCTGTGTTTGCTTTGCTAATTAATTGAGATTGGTTGTACAACCACTCACCAAATGTTAGGTCAGTTCTTTTTTAGTTCACCCCTTGATAGCATTGGATGCCAAAATAAACTCTTCTTATTATTGTTGTTGTATTTCCAAGTATATGATTATTATGTTTCTAAAGAAACAAATCCATTGATGGTATATAATTATTAGACTCTTAATTAGGGTGAATTATATATTCCAAGTTTGAGCTGTTTTTGGCTTGCTTGGCACTTCAAACAAAGAGCTTCAATCATCACTAAGATGAAGAAATGTTGCTTTGAGGACTTTGTAAATAGGGGAAGCAATATGTAAATTGCATTATCAAGGAGAGTGATATGATTATTCATGACAGTGGATTGCTTATGGTTGACGATATCATTTATTTCAATCAACTCAATATTTCTTTAATCCAAGTATATAACAAATCAATCTCACTCACTCGAGTCAACAATCAATAAAAACGAGGATATCTTGACGTAACACTTAAATAATATCATATTGTCCCATCAAGCTTAAGATATTGAAACTCAAGAAACAAGTTTAAATTGACTTCATCCTTTCTTTATAAATGATCAAATTTTGACTTATTTATTATGATACATAATAAAGATTTTTATTTTTTTATTTTTTTTTATATTGAATTAAATGATATACATGACACTGGATTTGAACTTAAAAGCTTATCAACAATCAATAGGATATAGCAATAGAAAAATCTAAAATATTAAAAAATATATATAACACATCATTCTAACATAACTTTCTTTAAAAAATTAAATAGTTTCATAAATATCTTACCAGCATAAGACAACAAATCATAAAATTATGTGTGGCAACTTTTATATAGACAATTGCTCATCATTCAAGTCAAATTAATAATTATAACAAAATTATACTATCTTTTCTTACACCCCAAGGCAATTGAGCCACTCATCAAACTATCCCTTGATAGAGCAGGCTCATGTTTACCACACTGTTTAAGATTGGGATGACACTTGTGTAAAACTTGTCAACTTCATAAAGAACAACACCAAGATTTTTGTGTGGCCTAAAAGACATGCGAACCCTACTAATTTACTTTATTTATTATAAAGATTAAAATTATGTCTTTTTTTTAGTTATCCCTAATTATATTTTGTGCCCATGTTGTAGCTCACTTACAGCTAAAAATGATGAGTTGGGCCAACGTAATGGTCTAATTAAACAATTGGCAATAAATTTTCCACAGATATCAGTTTTGGATTATTTAATATTAACATATTATATTATTTTTAGAAAGTAAAAGAATTTGTGAGAGTTGTTTTATGGATTCGCAAGAGAGTATTTGAGTTTTTCCAATAAATAAACATTATTTTTTATCTGAATCTAATCAAAATTTATGTTGATGAAAATTTTGAATTGGGAAAAATAATTCTAGTGATATAATATCTAATCAAACCGTGAAATTTAAATTTCAGTCAAAGAGAAAGATAGTAAATATCTGAATTCTTTTATCCTCATATATATATATATATATATATATATATATATATATATATATAAGAATTTATTGGATTAGTTTATCCTACATATATTTTCTCTCTTACTGACCATCAAAATATTTCAAAACATACAAACTATAATATCCATACTAAAAAAAAAGAGTAGCTTGCAAACTAAGTCTACTAAGGATTAAAAATAATCTAAATTTGATTTGAAGGATGTGCATACATCCCCAACAACGACATGTGGCCCATTGATTCCAATAGTTATCGCCTCTTGGATTAAATAAAAGGAAAGAAAAAGCTACAAGCATGAAATCCACATCATATCCAATCTTTTAGCATACTACAAGTTTGTTGCCATCAAATGAGGTGTCAATATCATATAAATAAATCATAATTAAAAGAAATTTTAGAGGAGGAAGAAGAAAACCTATTATATTAATTTTCTTCATTTTAGTTTGCTGTATTATAACATAGGAAAAGAAAATAAAAGAAAAAAAAGGAGGCAAGTTCTTAAAAATAAACCTCTTATTTTTATTTTTTCTAATTAGAATCTATTTTTTATTTTTTATATTTTTTTTCTAAAAGATGATATTATATAACAATAGGATAATCGCGGATAATTTCTCGATCTCCATATCGAGGGTAGAGATGATGCCCGATGAGATCGATAAAGGAATAATCTCGATATCGAGGTTAGAGGTGATGCCCGATGAGATTGATTGACAGAGGAATAATCTCGATATCGAGGTTAGAGGTGATGCTGATGAAATTGATTGACAGAGGAATAATCTCGATATCGAGATTAGAGGTGATGCCCGATGAGACTAACAGACAAACAAGGGAGGGGAGGGCAGTGACAGACCAAAAATAAGAGATAATTTAATCATTTAGAGAAAAAAAATTATTATGTGAAAATAAATGGAAAATGGAACTCTAATAGAGAAAAAGAGAAAATAGGTTTTTTTGTTTTTGAAAATTGTCTAAAAGGAAATTAGAGATACCGACATGGAAAAGAGCGCTTTTCCGATACGTAACGTGTCGAATGTCGGCGATATTATCCAAACGCGGAGCCGATAAGAATCCCAAACAAACACCTCGAAGTTTCTTCCTCCGCCGCATAAGCCTAACAACTACAACCGAAGCCGTCATCTTTTCCTCTTGATCGATCCATCCATCGTCGATTGCTCTCTCTAGAAAAGGTTCGACTGAATTCGCTGTTCGATTGTATTTTGTTTGATCGAATTGTTGATCCGTTTTTTCTGTGGGAAGAGATGTCGAGGAGGCAGAGCAGCTACAAGCAGCAGCATGACTTCGGTGCGTGATCGCCTTCTCTATTGATTTCTTGTGTGTGTTCTTGGTATGATTATGTAGAAAACTGGTGCTTAGGGCTTTTAATCTGCAGAGAAGAGGAAGGCCGAGTCGCAGAGGATTAAGGAGAAATACCCCGGTAGAGTTCCGGTAAATGTTTTTTTCTCCTGAATTCTTTTCGGTATGATTCTGAAAGGTAGCTGATTAGCTTTCGTGGGTTCTGTTTATTGATGCTTCCTTTTCAAATTGAGGGGTTTGTATTAGGAATATAATTTAATACCAGTAACTATGCATCATTCTATGGTGTCCATAGATGCAGTTTTTTGGGTGACAAGCGAGTAATCACTTGTTTCGTCTCCAGTTATTATTATGGGTTTCTTCGTGTTGCTTTTCGCCAGTTTATTCATCCTTCATCAGAGTTCGTAAAATCCCACAACTGCACTGGGTTTCTCATTCATCAAAGTTCATTGATTCTCTCAACTGTGCTGAGTTTTTTGTACTTCTTAAATGTTTAATTTGGGGATTTGGTCTGACTCACTGTGCAAGGAATCCCAGTTTTCTTCTTACCTTTCCCTCTGTTCCACATGGACAACAAGAGATATATATCCATGATATGATTTGCAAAGGGTACACTTATATCATCATCATCAATAGATTATATATACTTTATTTTGGAGAATCCAAATTCTAGCTGGTACTAATCATTAAGTCCAACTTTCAGACACATATGCTGTTAGAAACAATAATGCCATTATGCACCAATTGAAATACAAGTTCAGGGTTACCACCTTTCGCAACACATTTTAGACAGATGGACTTTGGGACTGGGGCATGCTCTGCATCGTCCTTATGAGTAGTTCAGTCCACCCTTAATTATGGACTTCTGGCTCTACTACCCTCCATGATATAGCAGACCCACTTGCCTTAGTGGTTCTGTCACTTTGGCAAGACCACATGAGCATTGTTATCTTGGATTTCCCAGGAAAGAATGATAAAGATGGAAAAGATGAAGGAGATGAAAGGCCATAGATTTCACCCAGAAAAACAGAAGTTATGGGGGAATGGATAATTGATAAGATATGAGATTTCTCTATTCTTAACAGTGACTTTAATATATAGAAGGCATGCATTTGAATTCTCAAATGGATGGACTTGACATGTTGTACATGTAATTCTCAAATGGATGGAGTTGAAAGGATTGGAGGTTTTTCCTTATGCTATTACTTACTAAAGATTGGAACTTGTGGTTTTTGTGGTTTCTACAATTGATGATACAGGTCAAACTGTAGCTAATTGCTAATCAAGACTTCAGAATTGTGTGCTAGCTGCAATTTGACAGTAGGCTAGGGCCCTTTGGTAGTCCTTTTTCATATTCCTTGAAAGACACTGTTTAATGATATCTAAATTGTTTACAATTATAGTTGCATTTTACTCGGAGCCAATCAAATTTTGGTGGGAACATAGAACAAAAATTTTAATATCAATAGCATAAAATATTTCCGTGTATGGTTGACATGATATGCCGACAACCTCCTATGCCTACCAAAACAGATCAAGTAATTGGACTAGCCATAGGATGCACGCATAGCAGAATATAAAATGGCTTGGCACAGGTTGGTTAAGAAAATCCTTGTGTTGGTTTAAACTTCAATCCTTTTGTGGAAGAAAGAATTTGTGGCAAACGATTTAGATATTTGTTGGAGAATCTGAAAGCTGAAGCTGATATAGTTTTGATACTTTACCAAGCAATTACTAGCTGGAATTGAGTGATGGTCTGTTGTTTAGTCTTAGGCCATAATGATTAACTATAACAATTGATGCAAGTATGTGCCAGAAGCAGATGCTAAATTACTAGTGAACTTAAATTCTTCATGATGATTTTGTGGGGTTTTATGTACATGAGACCTAATTCTGCCGCAATGGTAATGTGACTTCTAACCGGGAACTACACTTAATCACTTTCGTTTGTTGGTGTTGATTGGCTTGTGTTCTATTCCTGTAACTGCAAATTGATCTTATTGGGTTATTCATTTTATAGCCCTGGCAAGGAGAGCTGTCATTCTTTGGCTTTGGAAAGACCATTATGTTATGTTTTCCTTACTATGCTCCCCTCCATTCATTCATTTGTGGACCAGCCAATTGGATTGATACAAACAGCTAATGACGCCTGTACCTTATGACAACTGTTCTTTCATGGATATATGCATGTAACTCTGACCTACTGCAAGTCAGGACTTAACACAAAGTAGAGATGTTTGAGTTACAAAGGCATGCACATCTGATATCAAAGAAATTTTATAATATTGGAGCTGATATTGCACCAGTTGCAAAAGGCATCTCATTTATGTACATTTTATTTTATCTATTCTCATAAATAACTGTGTTATTTGATAACGGGTTTCTATTGGGTTGCAGTTAATTTTCTTTAGAATGATTCTGCCTAAAAATTTAACAAGTTGGAGTAAAGAATGTTTGTAGTCCATATATACTTGAAATCAAAGATGTCACCAAATAGAATCGCTATAAGTGTTGAACCCAGATTGTATCTATTTTGCTTTGCTGAGGCTTCATAGCGCAAACATATTCTCCGGTTGCCTGCCTAACACTGTCTGCTGTTTTAGGTGATTGTGGAGAAGGCGGAGAGAAGCGACGTGCCAAATATTGACAAGAAAAAGTGAGAGCCCTTCTAAATTACAACCCTCCTTCTCCTGCTGATGAATTAAAACCTTTCTGGACCTAGATTATCCATTTGTCTGAGTAATGAACATTTTCTATGTGATGAAACTTTGAATTTTTGTGAAATGTTTACCCAGATTTTGATTTAAGTGCAGGTATTTGGTTCCCGGAGAGATTACACTTGGGCAGTTTGTCTATGTTATTCGCAAGAGAATAAATTTAAGCGCAGAGAAAGCCATATTTATGTTCGTAGACAATGTGCTTCCATCAACTGGTACTTTGTTTGTCACTACTGCTCTGACTCATTTCCTTCATGTTCCACATCAACCACCAACTCTACTTCTTTTGTTTATGATCCTCTCAGGAGCAATGATGTCCCAACTTTATGATGATAAGAAAGATGAAGATGGGTTCCTTTACTTTCTCTACAGTGGAGAGAACACCTTCGGAAGCCAGAATATGCAGTAGATCATTTAGGATTATGCCACCAACACAGTTCCCTCCATTGGCTAACTGTTGTACATATTGCCAATACCGTATAATAATTATGGAGTCTGCTGATATTTTATCCTCTGGTTCTGAGAATTCTGTATGGTCATACGGAAATAGTTCTAGTTTTATCGTATCGTTTATGCATTTCCTTTTATCTTATTGTGTGTGTTATATTCATGTGGATCTTATTACAAGTCAACAGCAGCATCCATATCATTGGTTTTTTTTTAATTAAAAATACTTTTAAAGTAAAAAAAATTTATAATTTAAAACAGAAAGAAAACTATGTATATTTTTGTAATCAAGAATTGTTGGTTCGAGTCATGGGCTTCAGTTCTCAAAATCTAGAATCCCAAATTAAACTGTTCGATTTGGAATTAGCAAACTATTGGATTGGTTTGATTTGATTTTTGGCCTGATTGGATTTTGGTTCGAATTGAATCGTGATTAAGGTTAGTATTAAGAGAAGATTCGAACCCTTCACCCATTTGTTGCCATGTATAGAGATAAGGTTGTATATGATCAATTTTACGTGAGTAGTAACATATTTCAGAAAGTTCATCAGTGAGATTAAAATTTAGTCATAATCGAAACGTTAACCTAATTTATAAAATAGGCGGGCTGGGCCGGCGGCCCACGACAGTAATGTCTCAATTTGTAGCCCGTGGTATGAGTCAAGTAGACATCGATGAACTCATGGTCTACGTTGATACCATGTTGGATTAATTTCCAATAATCTCGATGGCTTTAAAGCAGAGATCATACTTTTCTTGGCAGTAAAAGTTCAAGAAAATTCACCTTGTAAACCTTTGAATCGAACTCAAATATCTCGATCGAGCCCACTCGATCCTTCGACCCGCAAAGATCACACAAGATCGAACTGTTTCATCATGCTTTTGGTCGAGCATGGAGATGTGAACATGATGTTAGCTTCATGATCTGGAACTCGTCGTAGGCGTCGGATGACAGCGTTCATACGTTCCCTCGGAGCTAAGGCGGGCATCGACGTCGCCATCTCCTTAATAATGAGCTACCGGTGTTGATGTAGCATTCTATAGATATGGAATCATCAATCATTGGCTACAAACAGGAGCACTTTGCAGTCAACCATCGTGTTTCCGGGTGGCGTTTGGATCTGCATGGCCGAGGATCGATGATTCATTTCACAGCTAGGGTTGACAGTATTGTCTCAGAGTCGAATGGCACGCAGGCGGCGAGCAAGAGGAAACCCTCCACTGTGTCTCTGTCGTCTTCCACCTCTCGCCTGGCCATGCTTTCTGTCACGCCTTCATGTCATCTCTCTCATTCTCTCTCTTCTATGATGTTGCTTTAATTAGTGAGGGATAAGAAACATGGTAGGGGGCCACTCGCAATTTGTCCGAGGGATGAAGCCCTCATGTGATCGCCACCTGTTTTCTCCTCTCCGGCTGACGCTCTACAATCATTGAAGGTGCCGTGCATGTGACGATTCCATGGCTATATCTCATCATTCTGCCTGTCCACGGTGTTGTCTGATAGCTAATAGTCATCACTCTATTGGTTGGATACTCCATACACACCCAAGAAAGGAGAAGAGAGGAGAAGAATCGAAGGAGGTGCACCACCCACTCCATTATTGACTAATGCTTGTAGTTGAAGTGGGATGATCAGGTTGACTAGCTTGATATGCTTAGGATTTTTTTTTAGCTTTGAGAATATTTTTTCGTGAGGTTTGACTTCAAATGCTTAAAACATGATAATTATTGATGATAGATAACAAAAGGAAATCTTGATGATGTTGTAATGTCTGCTAAACAGGTTACATATCTTGAAGCTAATCATAGAGAGAAATTTGAGTGCTGCTGCAGCTGCAGCAAAGAGTTCCTTGTTACAGCAGTAGGTACTTGTTCATAGGAGAGATTTCTTTCTAGATTAGCAACCAAATCTTTCCTGAGAAAGACATATACTTACAGCTGCTAAATCTCAGGTTCTATCCCTCCTCGAAATCTGTAGTGAATGCTACCTGATATGCTTCATCTAACATTCATTGCTTGTTCGAGAGACCTCATCCATATCAGTACACGATGAACAGGGTTCAGATACAAGTCCAGCTCTGTGTGTTGGAGTTTCGAGAAGAGACAGAGGACAGAGGCTCGTGAAGGGCATCCGTGAACGACCCTCTTCGTGCTGTCGGACAGCTTGGCTTTGGCTTTTAGGGCACAAAGATTCGATCGACCTCTTCACAGACTCACTTGAGGATAAAAGAAGAAACCAATGGCTGTGTTCTATTTACTTTTAGAGTGCATATAGTAGCCTTCGACACAAGTTTGTGAACTTTGGTGAAGGTAAAATATAATTATCCGAATTGGACGTCGACTCGAAGTCAATCGGGACATATTCTATATTTATCTTTTATCAATGTTGAGAATGAAAATAATCGAATCTTATAAAACTGTATTGTGTATACATGATAAAATTTCTTTAATATTTAAATTAATTTAGGAGTTGAAATATTGGAAAAGCATTAAAAGTTTTTTATGTGTATTTTGTAATGCATTTGAAGGGTTCGTAATTTTGGAATCATTATGCACGCAAACATATATTGATATCAAAATAGTTTCGTATATTCCCAGTCTTAGGTAAAATTATATTGTGTTGAATTCAAGCATAATATAGGTTATAATATTTGAGGATCATCGTCATATCAACAACACATGATGGAAGTATTTAGGATATGAGACTCAAATATTGATCGTCTGGCATCATATTATCAACCATCTAACATCGAAGTGTTGATCTTATAATATTGAGGTATCTTACATATAGTTACTTCCCTATCAAATGCGAAGTCTTTTAGATTTTTATAAAGTAAAAAAAAAATACAATAGAAACTTCATATCATAGCATTTCAATCAGTTTTGTATTACAGATAAATATTGGAGAGTTCAGATTCTTCATCATTCATCTCAAATGAATCTATTGTCGAAACATTATCAACACGAGTTTGTGATGAATTGGATTGGTAAATCATATATGTCTTCGTGGGCTGTACTTTGGTGAAGGTGAAATATGATTATCGACTCAGAGTTAATTAGGATATATTCTGTATTTATTCTTTATCGGAAATAAAAAAAAATTGAATCTTATAAAACTATATCGAAAGTATACCCGATAAAATCCCACTAATACTTAAGTTAGCTTAAGAATTGAGATGCTGAAAAAACATCGAGAGTGATAAAATTGAAAGAATTGATTAAATGAGTTTTTTTTCTTTTTTTATTTTGGTATGCATTTGAGGGGTCTATAACTTTAGGACCGTTATGGTCGTAAACATATATTGATGTCGAAATAGTTTCGTATATTTCTCATCCTAGATAAAATTACGTTACGTTGAATCTAAAAAACGTGTGACAAAGTGAGTGGTACCGGGATGCTGATTGTCTGACATCATATTATCAACCACCTAACATCGAAATATTAATCGCATAATATTGAGGCATTGGTCACGTCATTGCTTTTCGATCAAATGCAAAGTCCTTTAAATTTGTATGAAATCAAAGAAAAAGAAAAATACAACAGAAACTTCACATCATAGCATCTCAATTCATCATCATTCATCTCAAATGAATCTATTGTCCAAACATTATCCTCGAACAAGTAGTTCTTCTTTGCCTGTCAATCGGTAAGGTGTGGGTTTCAAGGATGGATGTCTACCGTCTGAGACAGATGCTTCAAATTATTCACTCCACTAACTCTTGCATGTCGTTCTCCCACTCCCACCAAGCAAAAAAGAAGTGAATCGAAAGAAAAGGAGTCATCAACCACAACAAATTCAATAATCTACGTAGAAAGAGACTGGTCACTATGTAGACACTTTGACATCACCTCTTCAAAAGCTTGACACGTAAATCCATGGTGCCGCAACTGTGCAAGAGATAGATGCCCGTCGAAGTTACAACATGCCTTGCACTAAGGCTTGATCACATGATAAATACCAAAGATAACGTAAAGAAAAAGAGTCTCCCGATTCAAACTCATGTTGTTCTAACACCACGATGACCAATTTAGTCCGTCAATTATTTAATATATTTGACTATCTTAGTGGTTATTTTATACGCAGTCATAAGTTACGACGTGACAACCAACATCTAGAATAATTTTAATCTAGTTTTTTAGATTGCTAAAGAGTAGAGAAATAAGAACATGCGAAAATAAGTAATCGAAGAAATCATACTATGGTTGCGTTTCAACACCACAAATTTTGATTTAAGATATTGCAAATATCTATCGCTACAATGATAGAAGGTTAAGATCATAGTTATTGAGTTTTGTGCTTTAGTCTAAAAAGAGGGTTAGAATATTGTAATGTAGATCATAGTTATTGAGTTTTTCATGTGAGTGTTGTGAGTTCATAATTATTTTTTTAATATAATTTATTATCTATGTATGGATCAATGAATCGAGTTCTTCTCGCTTATGTGTGAATGTTGTGAGGCCATAGTTATTTTTTCTTAACAATATAATTTTATCGTCTACCTACGAGACTTGTGGAGTTACGAGACCTTCATCTTACGAAAGACTAAGCGATCGAAAGAGTTTGATAGTCATTCTTTTTTATTATTTTTTAATTATTATATTTTTTCATGCTCTCTTTCTATTTCTCTAATTATAAGAGTCTAATTAGTTGGCTCAGCACAACGAGAAAGAGACATAGTAGCTGAGCACATTCTTCGTGAGATGAGAATATAGAAGAAGGTGACTGTCCACAACGATGAAAGAGAAGGCAATAGCCATCTCCACTGCGGGGCATGCAACCTGTGCTTGCAGATACCGAGCCTTTTAGATTTCTATCTCGAACACATGCACCGGTGGATATCATTAGAATGAGAATTACTGTACCTTTTTCGACTTGCAGCTGTGGATGTCTACGCCCTTTTTGATTTCCATCGACTTGACCGAGACATGTCCAAACACATGCATGCATCGGCAGGAAGAAAAGCTCCTCACCTTTGGCTCCCGATTCCTCGTTAGGTGGCACGCATCGGGGAAAACCATGGGGAAGGCAGGCGCTGCTCCGTGCATGCCTGAAGAAGCTTCCTGATTTAGCACAACATCCACGAATCCCTCACAGGACTCCGAGTCGATGCAGGAGGAGGTTCAAGTCGTAAAGATGGACGGAG